CCACTCCCTGGGGCAGCCAGCCCCTTCCCTGTGGCTGGCTCCTTTCTACCCTCCTTAGAGAAGCCTCTTCTGCTCCTGGCTTATGAGTATAGGTGGAGATTGGGTCTAATCTAGGAAAACTGGAATCCACGACACCAGCAGATGATGATATGGTTGCTAAATCTTGCCTAGTGTCCAACTCCTTATAAGGTTGTTGAATTTCTGGGCCCAGGTTAGAGCAGGAGGGCCCTGGACACATGGCTTAGTGACCAATATGTACCGATATGTGCAGACTCCTAACAGCAGGGGTGACAGCCATAAGGCACTTCTGCTCGTTGTATACCTCCTGCTCCCACTGACTCCCTTCCAGGCCACTTCCAACCAGAGCCCCAAAGAACAACTTGGCTTGGAAGATCTCTGCTTTTCATTCACTTAAGCAGAATTTTTCTGTGGTCATTAGCATCCTGAACTATTAACCTTTTATTACTACTTTTTTTTTTTTGAAGATTCACCCATTTATGCATACAAGAGTTGGGGTACAGGTCAGAGATGCGTGTGAGAGAGAGAGAGAGAGAGAGAGAGAGGATTCACCAGAGACAGAGTGGGGAACAGAACAGGCAGACCGACTGAAATACACTGCTGAGGGGAGCAGCAGGTGAGGCAGGAGAGGTCTGCTGCGCCATGTGGACTGCTTCCTGGCCAGGGATGGAACTCATGCTGCAGAGGCTGCGGATTGCTTCATAGTGCGGTGCTCAACCCCTTGTGTCATCAGGGAGGCCATATTACTACATTTTTTAAAAAAAATTCTTGCTCCTTTTTGATTTACTAATATTGCTGTATTTAAAAATGCAAAAGTGCATGGTGCCAAGTACATAACTCAACACAGAGTTGTCACGTGAACACACATGGAGCTCCTCCCCACCCCCAGGCCAGCCAGTGTCCCAGCTCATCCCTCCATAGTCATTATCCACCTTTTTTCTCTCCCTCCTCCGAGGTAACCTCATCCTCATTTTTATGATAATGACACCCTTGACTTATTTTTTTATAGTTTTAGCACCTAAATATATATTCCTAAATACTGTAGTTTAGTTTTACATGTTTTCAAACAATGTGTATAAATGGAGTTGTGCATTTGGAATAATTTGGATTGGAATGAACTGGTGTTTGACTTTATTCAAAGGCATTTTTTTTAAAGATTTATTTATGTATACAAGAGCTGGGGTGCAGGCCAGAGATGCGGGGGGTGAGAGGATTCACCAGAGACAGTAGGGAACAGAACAGGCAGACTGATTGAAACCACTGCTGAGAGGAGCAGCAGGCGAGACAGGAGAGTTCTGCTGTGCCATGTGGGTAGCTCCCTGGCTAGCCGGGGATGGAACTTGTGCTGCAGAGTCTTTGTATCACTTCATGGTGCACTGCTTAACCCCTTGCACCACCAGGGAGGCCCTCAAAGGCATTTTTAAGACTTACTCATATTGGTGCAGGCTGCTTCCCTGCTATGCTTTGTAGATTTCCATCTTTACCTGTCTTCTCTGTCTTCCCCTGCTTTAGAATAATTATTTTTTAGAATAATATTTTTAAAAATACTAAATATAATGGTACAATGACGAGAAGGAAATCAATCAACATATCTATTTTATGTATAAACTTGTAAAGGGGAGGAATTGAATTGCAAGTATTTTTAAAATAACATGCAAATAGATCTAATTATTAAAGACTACAGAGGAAAATGAAGTCTTTCCCTGCCTCTTCTGCCCCTCAGATCTGTTGCTGCTTGTTTCTCAAAAATATCCGTGCACTCCTGTGTGTAAAGAACACTTGCAAACTATTGACTTATGTGCCTTAGATACACAAACACACGCGCAAGTGCGTGCACACGGCGGCATCACCGAGGTGCGCTCACTCTGTCTCTCCCAGCTGACAGCCCCGCAAGGGAGACACCCTCTGCTTTTGCTCCTTAGTGGAGCTTGGAGATCTCCTCATTCTTCTGGTGGCCTGTGTGGCTTTCTTTGTGTGGATATTTAACCAGCTGCTCAGGGGCATTTAGGTGTTTTCTAATCTTTCTGATAAACAGGGCTGCATTGAATAACCCTGAGGAAGGTCATTTCTTCTGTGAGTGACTATACACAAGGGGTAGGTAAGTTCCTAGATGTAGGATTGCAGGATTGCCCCTTCTGCGTGTCCGTTTGACAACAGTAATCCAATTGCTCTCTGCAGAGACCACAAAAGAAGGCCTGTTCCTCTTCCAACCTGGCCTGTCATCAAATTCTTTACTTCCTGCCCATATGTCACAATCAGGATAAAATCAGCACCTCACTGAAGAATTGAACTTCTTTGTGTATGAACTTGAATATCCATACACATATTTAAGTGACATTTGAATTCCCTCAGCTTGCTTCCTGTTCTTTACTCATCTCTCTCTGGTTGTTTTTTCTGTTGGATGTTATGCTTTTGATCTTTTTACTCCAGTGGTTTGCGGCAGTTTGTACCAAACCAGTGCAGCTTGAGGGTGTCTGGGGTGTCAGTAAGGAAGAGCTCAGATCCAGCCACCAGGGGATGAGGGACTTGCGAAACTGACCTTTCCCAGATGGTGCTGGTGATGGGAACCCTGGGAGATATATTTAAAAAAAAAAAAAAAAAAGATTTTATTTATGCATACAAGAACTGGGGTACAGGCCAGAGGTGCAGGGGGTGAGAGGTTTAACCAGAGACAGAATGGGAAAGAGAACAGGCAGATGGACTGAAATACACTGCTGAGGGGAGCAGCGGGTGAGACAGGAGAGATCTGCTTACACCATATGGGTAGCTCCCTGGCTGGGGATTGAACTCGTGCTGCAGAGGTTGTTGATGTTGTGCCCAACGTCAACCAACTGGCCCATAATAAACTCATTTTTGTTCTTGCATCGGCTGTCTGTGTGTCCTTGAGGGCTGCGCTGGTCGAGGTTGGGCACAACAGTTGATAGCTTCACAGTGCTGTGCTTAACCCCTTGCACCACCAGGGAGGCCCAACCCTGGGAGATTTAGATGCAGTAGATACAGTTTAGCAGGCTTGGTCGATTTTTTGAGCTGGCTGGTGGTAAACACATCTCAGGGATTGCCCGCTATACTAAGCCCAATCCTGTTCTTTGCTATTTTTCTGGAAAACTTTTAATCAAAGGTCCATAGAGCAAAGGTACATTTGCTGCTCATATATTATTTTTCCTCTCTGTGAATATTTCCATTCTAGAAAATGGTGCAAGTTTCCTACTTTGTCTGTAAATTAACCTTGTGGTTCAAGTATCTAGTAAAGTTCTCTACTCCAAGTGGGTACTTTAAAAATATTTGATCAAAAAGATAAATCTCTCTGTGTGCTATTTTGCTGCCTTTCTGAAAGGTAGGTGCTAAATTTAGCACAGTGTTTTATTTATTTTATTTTTTTTTACACGTCAGAAGGGTAATGTGTCGACGTCGTAACAAGGTTTAAGGGAGACACATCTCACACAGCCGCGTGAACACCCAATCATCACACTTATGAACTAGAAAAGGATCTAGCACAGCATTTTAAAATGTACTAATAGGTGTCTGTGATTTTCAAACGTGCAAGTCATTGGGGAAACTAGAGCTGAAGAGGTGCTGTCTTACCCTCTTTCCAAATGTATGACACCCTCACCCGGGCTTTGTAGCAGCTGAGTGGGTGTGCCTTCCTGCTTGGGAGACCCAGCGCAGCCCAAGACTGGGGTCACGTGAAAGGCTGACCATGTACTTGTGAGTGACCCTCCCAGGTCGGCTCACTGGCAAGCACTTCTGGGGGGGTCTGGAACACAAGTCATATGGGATTAAGGTTCCTGCCAATGATCTCCTTTTACTTGATTATATGTACGATCACTCTCTTTCCTAATTAGGTCACATTTGGGGGTACAGAGTAGAGTCACACCTTTATCAGATGAATCTTAGGGCACATAATTCAACCCACAGCAGCATGCTTATTTTCTGCCCAATTTTTTCTTTTTTCTTTTTCTTTGTTCTTATCCAGGTGTATGGACTTATAAATGAACACCTGCATACACGACCTTATATTCTTCACCAGAAGACTAGTTCTCACCCCTCACCAGCCTCTAATCCCTTTTACCCAATTATCCAGCCCCTCTTCCCCTTCTCTTCTGGCAACCGCTGTTATCACTCTGGCCTAAAGGTTTTATTTTTGCTCTGTTATCTCTTTGTCTACCACATGTGAGTGAAATCACAGGGTGCTTGCCTTTACCATCTGACATATTTCACTTAGCATAATACCCTTCAGCTCTATACCTGTTGTTGCAGGTGGCAGGATGTCATCTGTTGTAACAGATGAGTGATCTCCCATTGTGTCTAGACCCCGTGTCTTCTTTATCCACTCATCTGTTGATGGGCATTGAGGTTGTTTCCAGCTCCTGGTATTCTGAGTAGTCTTGTGAATGTGGGGGTTGCATATATCTCTGCAAATCAAAATTTTTGAGCTCTTCGAATAATTATCCAGAAGATATACCTGCATCGTAAGGTAGTTCTATTTTTAAGTTTTTGAGGCACCTCCATGCTGTTTTCCACAGTGGTTGCACCAATTTACTTTCCCACCAACAATAGATGAGGGTTCCCCTTTTTTCCACATCCCCCACAATCCTTATTGTTTCTTGCCCTTTTTTTTTAAAAGATTTATTTGTTTGTTTGTTTGTTTATTTGTTTATTTATACAAGCACTGGGTACAGTCAGAGGCACGGGAGGGTGAGAGAATTCACCAGAGACAGAGCAGAGAGTAGAACAGGCAGAGTGATGAAGCACACTGCTGAGGGGAGCAGCGGGCGGCAGGAGAGGTCTGCACGCCATGTGGGACCCTTGTCCAGTGGCTGGGGATCGAACTGGCGCTGCAGAGGCTGTGGGCAGCTTCGCAACCCAGCGTTCAACTGCTGCGCCACCAGGGAGGCCCCTGTTTCTTGTCCTTTTGATAACAGACATTCTTGTGGGTGTGATACCTCATTGGGGTTTTGATTTGTATTTCCTTCTTTCTAAAGATTGTACATGGCAAGTCAAAGCAAATGATCGAAGCTTCCATGAACAACCTGATTTTATGAACACAAAGTTTTTGTGTCTTAAGGAGAGCAAATATGCGGTAAGTTGAGTTTAACTTCTTAAGTTTCGTTTTGTTAGAAGCCAATTAAGACCCAGTAGCCATCATGCTTTCTCGCTTCATGCTACTCCCGCTGTCTAGGTAACTCCTGCCTCAGGCCCAGTGATAACCGTTGATAAGTCTCTGGAATATCATTTTTATTCATCACATAAATTTATGCTGAGAATGTGTAGGAATGATTGGAACAAAAATATGTAGACTGAAAATTTCCCTATGTATGTGCAAAATTCGCTTTAAAAATGTTTTGTGAAAGAATATAGAATAATGTGATAGAGCTTTCTATTTAGTAACTTACCTCCCCTCCTCTCCTGTGATGAATTCAGAGACTTTGAAGATATTTCCACCTTTAAAATTCTTTAACCTTTGAAATATGATAAAGAGCACCTGAGAAGTGTGGGCTCCAGTGTCAGTGTCTACTAGTTTAGTCATACCACCAGCCTGGTGGTTTTGACAATAGAAATTTATTCTTTTACAGTTTAGGGGACAGAAATCCCAGCGCTCCAGGTATCAGAGGCCTGGTTCCTTTAAGAGGATCTGCGGGAGGATCTTTTCCAAGTCTCCCTCCACTTCTGGTGATGGCCGCAATCCTTGGTGTCCTCAGCTAATGGACCCCCCTCTCCGGCCACTGCCCCATCTTCACATGGCATTTCTGTGTCTCTATCTGTACACCAGCTTTCCTCTTCTAGCACAACTTTCCATTTCTAAAATGAAGTCTCTAGTACGACTTCACTCTAACTTTTACCTCTGGATGCTGATTGCATCTGCAAAGACCCTGTTTCCAAATGAGATGACACCCCAGATGGGTTAGGGCCGCAGCATGTCCTCCGAGGCGCACAGCTCAGCCATACAATGGCACACAGCTCAGCCATACTCTTCCTTACACAGTAACCTCCATCCTCCTTAACTGAGTCTTCCTTTTCCTGCTCTGCCTGCCCATGCTGCCTGCACCTTTGCCCCATTTTCTAAGACTTTGCAAAGTCAGGAAATCATGACACAGGATCCAGGTGGTCACAGTGGGATTTGCCACCAGGCCCTGTCCGGCAAAGTGTGAAGTGTCTTCGTCTTGTTATGCTCTGTGACATAAGCCTCTCAGGAGTCATTTTGAGGTCTGGTTAGAATTAAGCGCTTAAAGGAAGTCTCACTGTCCTTCTGAATGACAAATTATCTCCCTGTGGTGCTGAGGGCCATAGGTTTGTGATTTTTGCAGCTGGGCAGACAACTGTGATGAATGTGTAGCAGCGTTAGAAATGACTTTCTTACTTTTTTCCCAACAGAATAATGCAATTAAAACGTACAAGTACAATGCGTTTACCTTTCTACCAATGAATTTGTTTGAGCAGTTCAAGAGAGCAGCCAATTTCTATTTCCTGGTTCTTCTTATCTTGCAGGTAAATGCCCTTTGTTATCTTAAAGCTATTTTGAAGTATGGTGACTCAGTAACATTTAAATTCCAAATGCATGTAATGTGAGTGATCTTGAACATCAGGTTTCTTCTCATAAGGGAACAGACACAAAACTGAGCTTTGTCAAATGGACAAGGGAGGGAGCGAGGAAATATTACTTTAATTCTATATTTTTAATTCCATTTCATACTGATGTAAAAGGTAAAACTGCTTTCTCCAAAGTGAATCAATGTAAGGTCTTGCACTTTTTAAAATTATTTTTACCGTAAAATATATGTTTAGATTTTTCCTTTTTTATTTAGATGCCTCATCTCACCAAGAGTAGTATTGATTTTTATTGACATCTTTGTCATATATCTCAAATTATTTTTGTGAACTGGTTAACTGGAAAAGGTCTCTTTTTCTGAAATTTTTTTCTGAATTGTAGCAAAGGATACACTTATCTGGAGGGCATTAATTTTATCTGTTTAGGAACTATTGTTAAAATCAGGGGAACTATATGCTCTCTAGTTAGTAGCACCCAATGTGTAGCCCACAAAATTACCCTGAATGGGGTTATTTTTTTTAATTATAAAAATTTTTTTGAAGTCTGCATTTTTTTTTAAGATTTATTTATTTATTTATTTATACAAGCCCTGGGTACAGTCAGAAGCGCGGGAGGGTGAGAGAATTCACCAGAGCCAGAGCGGGGAGCAGAGCAGGCAGACCGATGAAATACACTGCTGAGGGGAGCAGCGGGTGGCAGGAGAGGTCTGCATGCCATGCGGGACCCTCCTCCTGTGGCCGGGGAGCAGCCGGGGATCGAACTGGCGCCGCAGAGGCTGGGGAAGCTTTGCAACCCAGTGCTCAACCTCTGCGCCACTGGGGAGGCCCTTACCCAGATGGTTTTATCAGATTCTTTATATCAAACTGCTGAGATTCACCCAGAAAGGGTTTATGAAAATGGAAGCCTATGTGTCTTCTTGGGATGAGGCTTCATAAAGTAGAGAGAAGACACAAGAGAGAAGTGGGCCCTCAACAGAGTTAGTAGAAGCTAAGACCTGCTAACTTGATAGACAGGATGCTCCTGCTATCAAGAGGGACCTTTGAGACAGGTTTGTGTAGAGATAAATTCTACAGATACAAGGTGACAGGTGGGTAATTTTCCCTTCCTTCTAGTGGGGAGGAGAGGAATTCCATCTATTGACCGTATGTGGGAAATGATCTTTCTACCACCACCCACCCCCTTTTGTCTTCTCCTAAGGTACAGCAATCCAAGATATGTAATAGAAGTAGCTTTAGACAGCCCTTTACTTGTATTGTTATTCAAAATCCTGTCACTTCAATCATTATATTCTATGACCCAGTGGGCAATAGGATGGTTACAAGGGATCATTATTAAATTGGCTTTCCAAATATTTTTTGTTCCAACTTGGAGAACATATTGATGGAGTTAGGGCTTTTTGCAAGGCAAGTTCCTTTCTTGGTTGGACCAGTAGTGAAGACCATGAAGAAAGCACTTTCTTTTAGAGCCCCCACCCAGTAACTAGCTTTCAGAAGCGACCTCTCTCTACTGCTATCTTTGCCTCCCTCATGGGATCCTCAGAAGCCACTGGCTGAACAACAAAGTGTAGGGAGTCTGCCATATGCATTCCCTGAGTGGAAGGACTACTTCACTCACACTAGTTCCCCCCTATTAATTACTATTTTCATAAAAAGTTTTAGGTGTCATGTTACAGAGTACCCTTGTGTCCATTTGAGGTAACAGTGAGTCCATTTCAGACATTACTCTCCTAGGAGTTCTGATCCAAGAGACTGGAAGCTCGAGACAGCCCCCAGAACGGGTTGGCTGGATGCTTGAGACACCTTTTCCTCAGTGCTCTGCAGGATGTGGGGTTGGATGATGGTAGAGATTAAGTCTCATGTCCATCAGCAAACTTAGTATTAGCTTTTACCTGTAGGTGAGCTCTGCCTTCCTGGCACACATGTATCCCTTTTTCTTTCTTTCAGACGATCCCTCAAATCACAACCCTGGCATGGTATACCACCCTGCTGCCCTTTCTTTTAGTGCTGGGCATCACAGCCATCAAAGACCTGGTAGATGATGTGGTAAGGATTTCTCATGCACCTTTCTCCTGCCTTCGCTGAGCTTGTTTTACTTTGGCATTATTACTTTACATTTTTAGGTGATTAAAATAACCTTTTCTTATTTTCTTTTAAAGTCTCGCCATAAAATGGATAATGAAGTCAACAACAGGATGTGTGAAGTCATTAAGGATGGCAGGTACTGTGCTTCCCTTAACTGGTAACTTAGCTACAGGACACCATATGTCATGTGGTCTGGAAACTTATTCAGAGATAACCATTGGAACCGAGAAGTCTATTGGTGCTTGAACCTTTCCATGGTAATATTCTCTCTCCAGCGAAGACGTAGCATCCCTTTTGTGTCCTGAAGCTGGACTCATATTGGTTGCTGTTGGGGCTCTTGGTCATCAGATGCGTTAGCCCCACAGCTCCCTCAGCCTTCAAGTGCTGCTCCCATCCCTGCTGTTCCCAGGCTTACACTGCTCAGGGCTTTGCTTCAAGGTCTGGATGCCTTTCCCAATTCTCCAGCCAAAGTGATGGCTTCTTCCTCTACCCGTTGAGAGCATTTTGTATCCTTCTTTCTTCTTATGATCTGAATTTTATTAGAATTATTGGTGGAGATGTCTCCTCTGGTATTCTGAGGTAGAGATTTCTCAGGGAGACGATCCTGAGGGTCTTTTTCTTGTGTCCACCAGATCCTCCAACACAAAAAGTGCTCGATGCATGTTTGTTAAATGAATGTAGTCATCCGTGACTAAAATGCCTCCTCATGGATCAGTAATAGGTTGTTTTTTGAGCAAGAGCCTTCAGGGAGAACTACAAAGTCAAATGCTAAAAATAGTGATGGGGCCCATTCACAGACTTTCCACTGAGGGAAACCACCTTGCTGACAGCCACGCTTCACCTGGCTCGTGTGGGCAGAGACCAGGCCAAACCAGCAATGTGTTCATATTTTAAAAATTTATTTTATTTTCTCTCACAAATAAATGACTTCGGTTTCAAAGCCTACCTTTTTTTTTTTACTTTTAATTTTACTTATTTATTTTTCTTATTAATTTATTCACTTTCTTACATCGTTATTCAAAATTACTTTGAGCAGTAATTGGTTTCTCCCCTCGGGTGTAGTCCCCATAATTCCCCCACCACCTCGGCATCTGTGACCCATCACCGTAGTCTCTTGTGCTCTTCCCTCTCCTGTTTTGACCTTTCTCCCTTCCCCTCCCTGCTGTTTGCCTCAAATCTATGGTCTGTCTTTTCCCTGACCCTCTGAAGGTAACCTTTAAGGTCATGGAGAGTCACTTCTTGGTGAGATTTGCACGGGGTGAGATTCAGAGTTAGCCCACATCACCCTAACTGCACTTGTCAAGTGTGGCTCTGAGTTGCCTTGGATTTGGGGGTTGGGGCCACACGCCAGGCATTGCCGTGGCAATCCCTGGCATACATGGGCAGGGCAGCAGGGGCCTCTTGAAGGGGAAGCCAGAATATCCCAGTGGCAGAGTCCAATGGAATTGCGGCCATACCCCCAAAGTACTGTGACCACAAGGTGCTACCTTGCTCATTTATAATTTGCCACCCACACTCAAATTATTAATTCATAATTTTAGAGCTATTGAAATGTGAACTAGCTACTCTTTCATTTGTTGAAAGATAATCCTAGTTTTAAAGTCCTGGAATGAAGAATGGATATTAGACTCTTGTAAAATTTGGGAAACAGGGCAGCAGCATATCTTTAAAAAGTATTTTATTTGTTTTAAAAGTTGATTTATTTATGCATACAAGAGCTGGGGTACAGGCCAGAGATGCAGGGAGTGAGAGGATTCACCAGAGACAGAGTGGGGAACAGAACTGGCAGACAGAAATACACTGCTGAGGGGAGCAGTGGGCAAGACCGGAGAGGTCTGCTGTGCCATGTGGATCAGTTCCCTGGCCAGGGATTGAACTCATGCTTCAGAGGCTGCAGATTGCTTCATAGTGTGGTGCCTAACCCCTTGTGCCACCAGGGAGGCCCTAAAATGTATTTTAAATCTTTGCTTTTTTATCCATAGAAGGACAGATATAGTCCTTAGTTTTCTGCCTGAAAAAAAACTCAGTTTATTAGCAGTGGTAGATTCATATTACCTGTTAGAAAGATGTATTTTCAATGTATGAAAAAAAGCTTTAAAGCAGATTTAGTGTTTTAAGACTTTAAAATTTTGATTTGTCTGAAATGTAAATGGATACTTCTTGTAAAATGTAACTGATGATGGTAACCTGGCTTTTTTACATTTTATCAGTATCCTTACTAGACTTATAAGAATGAAACCCACTCATTAAGACGATGATTGGGATAGCAGAGAAGGCAGCAAACTCTGTATTTCCATGAGAAGCCCAGGGCCCCACATGGAGCTGTGATGTGTCCCTGTCCTGAGAGCAGGACACTGCCAATGACAGGATGCTGAGAGGAGAGACACCAGGAGAGGTGGTAGCATAGGACATGAGCACATGATAGGGGAGGCCTGTCCCTCCTGTCCTGGAATTAAGTAGCCCCCCATAGACCCTTCAGTACATGGCTTAGGACAGAATGAGCTTAGGGAAGTCACCACTGCCACTTCCTTCGCAAGCTAGTAGGACCCTGGTGTCCACGTTGTGGCGTCCATCAGTCCATGGCTGACCTTTCAGCAAATCTTTTCCTTGCAATTTACATGTTTTTCCAGAATCTTTGGCTTCCAGAAGGCAAATAATTCTAAATGAATAAACTATCTTTGTTTAGATAACAAAAGGAAAATAATAAGCTATCTCTATTTTTAATATTTAGATTCAAAACTGCCAAGTGGAAAGAGGTTCAAGTTGGAGATGTCATACGTCTGAAGAAAAATGATTTTATTCCTGTAAGTGAATGCATTGCATCTCTCTCACACTGGGTGCTCCCGTCTGAGCTGGCGTGAATTCCTCTGGGGTCTTTGTGTGATTGCTGTGTTTTGTTTTGTGCAGGCTGACATCCTGCTGCTTTCCAGCTCTGAGCCGAACAGCCTGTGCTATGTGGAAACCACTGAACTGGATGGGTAAGCACGCCGTGGGTGGGCCTGTTTTCGAGCTGACCTTGAAGGTGCACTCAGTGCATGAAAGTCGTGCCCTCTGGACAGGGTGCCCCAAGATCTGGTCCTGCCTTTGCCCTTTGCTGTCCAGCTGTGTCCACAGTAGCCACACCTCTTTTTTTTTTTAATTCCATCTGCAAAGCAGAGCTCTCAAGCCTGCTTTCGCCACCTTTCAGGGAAGATAAAAGAATCCACGGAGAATAAATTCCTGAACCCTTTGCAAACTGCTGAGTAGTATCCACTCTGCAAATATAACCTTGTGGGACACAGAACAGACTTTTAAAGTCTTTGGCCAGTGGGCAATTGTGAATTCCCCCTTTGTTGATTTTGCTTATCACATGCCCACTCAAAGGAGAATAAAATGCTGGTGGTTTTGACTTGTTTTCAATACATTTATCGAGAGCTACTAGGCTGCACTAGCTTTCCCTGTTAGTTCATTTATTCTTCTCAGTAATCCTCTGAGAGGAGTATTACTATCACCTCAACATGGCCAATGAGGAAACTGAGGCACAGGAGGTGAAGGAGGCTGCCCAAGGTCACACAGTAAGTGACTCTCAAGGCCAGAGCCCATGTTTGCCACTTTTTTCACTTTCTAGATGTGCAGAAATATCCTCTCAGAGCTAAAAACATCTGAATAAAACAGGGTGGGTCTTTGCTCAATTAAGTATTCAGTTGGCAGCTCCATCTTAGCTACAAAGCAGTTATTGTTTGCATGAGTGTGAGATTCTAATTTTTTGCAAAGATGTAAAATCCTAATATGCTCTATCAGAGCAAAATGCATGGCTACTCAAGACCCACTGGTCAACTTGTTAATATTTGGAACCCCCACTTGGTATTTGCAAAGCCTAGGAAAGGGCACCCTCAGAAGATTAAGCATTGGCATCACTCTTGAGAGCACCAGCCTGCTCCCGGGTGTCCCTGAACCTGCCCTGTGGGTGGGACATGTCCAGATAAGGGATGAGTTTACCACCTTCTTTTCTAGATAGAATTACCTTCCAAGACATGGGATACAGTTACTCACTCTGGAAAAGAATAAGTCGAAAATGTCTAAACATGTTTTGCAGCAGATATATTTTATAGAGTCATTTTATCATGATTAATAGTAGAAGCACATTTTAAGCAGCATTTGGTAGTTTAAACTGGTGACAAGTTAAGTTAGTTGGAAGGAGGAAGATGCCTCCTTGACCCACAATTACAGTCAGGGGACCAACCTTTCCCAGGTCAGAAGGTTTTCCCAAACCTGAAATTCCAAGGTGATAATAGAGTTTGAAAATAGAAAAAGCTGATTACTTCGCTTGCACTGCTAGGTATGCTTAATGTTATTTTGTAGTTTTCTTTATGTTCCTTCTAGAGCTCCAAAAATTGTTCATTGAATTCTTTTTCCTCTTCCTTCAGAGAAACCAATTTGAAGTTCAAAATGGCTCTTGAAATCACACACCAGTATCTCCAAATAGAAAATTCATTGGCAAAATTTGATGGTTTGTACAAACACGTCTTTGTTTTAAATTTTAGCTCCTCAATTCAGCTCCTATTAATTAAAACCAGAAAATCATTCATATGTGAGAACTTAATGTGATTCATATCTTTTTTAAAAAGGTTTAGTTGAATGTGAAGAACCCAATAACCGACTGGATAAGTTTACAGGAACGCTATTTTGGAGAAACACAAATTTTCCTTTGGATGTGCATAACATTTTGTTGCGTGGCTGTGTGATTAGGAACACAGATTTCTGCCATGGACTGGTCATTTTTGCAGGTACTTTGAGAGTTTCTTGGGAAATTGATCTAATGGTCTTTACATATTTAAAGGGGAGGGGAATGCTTTTGTGTCCTTTCTCCATTGAAACTAAAGGTGGGTAATTTTTTTTTAAGATTTTTATTTATTTTTGTATAGAAGAACTGGGGTGTAGGCCAGAGGTTTAGGGGGTGAGAGGATTCACCAGAGACAAAGCAGGAGCAGAGCAGGTGGATTTACTGAAATACACTGCTAAGTGGGGCAGCAGACAAGACAGGAGAGGTCTGCTGTTCCATGTGGGTCAGCTCCCTGGCCTGAGAAACTCAGGCCGAAGCGGTGATTGCACTGAGACTTAACCCGTAGGCCACCAAGGAAGTCTAATTTTATTGATGTGCCAGTGAAGTGATTTTCCAACCATTGATTGCTTTGAATTTTCCATTTTTAGGTGCTGACACTAAAATAATGAAGAACAGTGGGAAAACCAAATTTAAAAGAACTAAAATTGATTACTTGATGAACTACGTGGTTTATACGGTATTTATTTTCTGTTTCAGTACCTGGGAGATCACACTGCAGGTTTTGCTCTAATTGTGTTATATGTTTTCCTGATGTAAAGAAATCCCATGTAGAAAACTGCAAAAAGTTATCCAAGGTTGGATGAGGGGGAGCGGAAGGGGGAGAATTCTCATTTTTTTTCTCGGAAATGCTACCTTTGTAATAGGAGAATCCCCTGGGGAATGGAAACGAGTGGTAGGTGCTCTGAGTAGTTGACTATCTGTGACTTGAGTGACCATTTGGAAAATCAGAGTCCTCGGTAGGTTAATGGGACTGGGCTGCTGAAGTCAAGGGAGGGCTGATTGTGCTGCTCTTCGTTTCCCAAAGGAGCGGTTCTCTTAAAAATCAAAGCTTTCCTCCCCAACATATGCTACGTCCAGTTGTATTTAACAAGGCTAAATGTGTTTGGGGTCACATTAACTGTCCCCAAGTTTAACGATCCTCTAGAGAGACTCACAAAATTCAGCATAGACAACTATGACTTATTACAAAGCAAGATCAGCAACGGCAGTGGTTTGATGGGGCAAAGTCCAGAGGAAATCAGGGATAAGGAAGTGTCCTTCCCGTGGGGTCAGATGCACAAGACGCTTACCTTCCCAGCAACGATCTGTGACAGCCCATGTGACATGGTGTCTATACCAGGAGGATCACTGGAGACTTGGTGCTTGGAATTTTACTGGGATCTGGTCATGCAGGAGCTGTGTCCTTAGCATGCACCAAGTTCCAGACTCTTCGAAGGAACCTGGGTGGTCAGCATAAACCATAGTGAGAATAAGAGATAAGAAATCAGGAGGACCCCCAAAATAAAAGTTCCAAGAGTCTAGCCAATGCCAGTCTTGCCAACAGGCAACCTTAGGATTGCAATCTCAAGCCTGCTGTGCATTAGCCCTTCTGCAAGTAGGGGGACTCCTAAATAGTACACAGCTCTCCAGTTTCCCAGGGAGAATCAATCTTTTGCAAGTATTTAGTTTAATTTGACTATGTAAACATTTAGAAACTTATAATACATTACTTTAATTGCCTTTACCTACTTAAAATCATATATATGAAATAGATTAATACAAGAAGCAATTATTTTTCTCCCTGCTCTTACATTGTATGAAAATATTTGAACGTTCTTGACCTCCTCCAGGTCACCGCAGGTCTTGGCCGGAGCGCTCTCAACCAGCGCACTCATTACGGTCTTGTCTTCTCCACCTGCCAAGGTGTTTTGAGATAGAGCACTTCAGGCCTCTGTGTTCCAGAAACTTCAACCTGGACCTGGACATTTCTTTCCTACCCACCAATACCACTAGAACAGTGGACATTTGTCTTTTTATTCATCCTCCATGTGGATGTGCGTAGTGTCCACGACATAACACTTCCTGTGCTGCTTAAGTGATCTTGATTACATGGTGCACGAATGTACCACCGACACTTAGGAATAATTACTCATATCTGGAGAAATTTCTGTGCCTTCTTTTTAAAATAATTGTTGCCGTCAAACTTTTCCAGTAAGCACCCCAACTGAGTAGTGTTTGAAATGTAAGGTCAGTTGCTCTCCCCAGCTACTGTCAAAGCAAAGCCATCGAGAAAGTGCCTGGCAATGTGAGAGAGATAATTCTTTCTCTTCTGAAAGATAATTTGGGGAACAAAACCTCACCTTATATATGTGGTTTGTAGGATCAGTCAGTCAACTATAGATGTCAAATGAACTTTCAAAGCACTGTTTTTCTGTTAAGTGTATTGTTTTTACTGACTGTCAATTGTGAGGGAAAGGTGGGGTGAGGCTGGAGTTGTGGGGGTGACAGAATTCACTAGAAAGAGTGGAGAAACAGAAAAGGGGGATTTATTGAAATACACTGCTAGAGAAGCGTGGGCAATACAGGAGTGGTCTGCCCCCGAAAAAGAATTTGGGGATCCCTCTTCTAACCTGTTTTCATGGGCTTTTCATGACTGGGGAGTCAGTGTGGGCCAGCTAGTGCTGGGATGTCTGGTCTTGGGCATTGAGCTTTAACACAGAATGTGTCCTGGCCCTGCTTCTTGACCCATTCAGGGTCAAGGTGATCAGCCTTATGGCTTTGTTTCCATAGCAACCTTATCAATTTTCTTTATTCAAGCCTTCCAGACCTTCCTGCTGGGGAAGAGGTGGGGGCTTATATTTTAACCTTATTAAATGATACCCCAACACCAATGACTGTAGACATGTGAAGTGTTGAGTAAAGTAATTAGTATCTATGAAATATAGGGAAACCTACCCTTCAGAATACACTTAAATGTGTCATGTCTTCTAGATCTTCGTTGTTCTCATCCTCCTCTCTGCTGGTCTTGCCATTGGCCATGCTTACTGGGAAGCGCAGGTGGGCAATTATTCTTGGTACCTCTATGATGGAGAAGATGCTACACCCTCCTACCGTGGATTCCTAAATTTCTGGGGCTACATCATTGTTATGAACACCATGGTGCCCATCTCTCTCTATGTCAGGTAAGGCTGTCTTCCAGTGTTTTGCTTTAAGGGAAGAGCATGGTGCATTATCAACATTTCCAACCTTGCACCTTCATTTCTAGTGATCATTGTTTCAAAGGTCATAGAGTACAAGTAAGAAAATCACTTTCACTGAAGAATAGGAGGTCACAGAGGAAAGGAATTTAGCCTACCCTGTGCCAGGTACAGAACCTTGTATCTCTACCTTGAGATAAGACGAGTTCAGAGATCAAATGTCAATCCTGTTTCGCTCATTTGATGAGTTTCCTCCGTGGCCGTAGGGCCAACCTTCAGAAACAGCCTGGGAGAAGGTGAAGACTTAAATTGTCATGAAAAATATGCATTTTCCTTTTCAGGAGATTTCCAGACATTTTTTTTTTTATATTTATTTTATACAAGAACTGGGGTACAGGCCAAATGCATGGGAGGGTGAGAGGATTCACCAGAGACAGAGCAGGGAACAGAACAGGCAGACTTATGAAATACACTGCTGAGGGGAGCAGCAGGTGAGACAGGAGAGGTCTGCCATGCCATGTGGCCAGCCGGGATCAAACTGGCACTGCAGAGGCTGTGGACAGCTTCTCAGCGTGGCACTCAACCACCTGCGCCATCAGGGGAGGCCAGACTTTTAATCTGCCTCTTCCTTATTACCACCTGCCACACCCATGGTTTCTAAAACTCCCTGGGTTTCCTAGCCACAGACCCTAAGGGGTACGCCACCTCCCTGCCCTGCTCTAGCTTCTCAAAATGTTTTTCTTATCTGTTTCCACCTCAGTGGAAGATTTAGGGTCATATCCAGGGAAAGTGCCTTGTTTGGTGATATTTCCTCCTTTTTTATGACATCGTTAGTATCAGAGATCACTGTCACTGGTTAATTCAATTTTAGACCTTCTGGTAAGGGGCTGTGCCTTGAAATATACTCAGCAGCCAGCATCTGCTCTTAGTTCTAGTAGGTGGTTGCCCAGAGGCATACAAGATCACACGCACACTTGTGATTAGGAGCTTTTGTTTTATTTTAATTTTATTACACATGTGTTTATTTCATTTTAATTTTATTATCTATGCATGTGTTTCATTTTTTTATTTTATTACACATAGTAACTGTTGTTTTTTTAACATAAAGAAAAAGCCTGGGGGAGTTATCTGTTCACAGCTATTTACTTCTATTTTTTTTAAACCAAGATGAGTTTTCCTTTGTCCAGGACACTGTTGCAAAGATTATTTTGTATAAAACTATACACAAGTTTTTTTTCAAAGTGCATATGTATTTTTTGGGTTTAAAAAGGTCATTTCATGTAACTAATTGATTTCTTTCTTTCTCTTGGGACATAAAGATCCTTTAAAGATAGATCCAGGGCCTCCTCTGGTGGCACAGGCACTTGAGCACCGCACTGTGAAGCTGTCTGCAGCCTCTGCAGTGCCAGTTTGATCCTGGCCGGCCAGCGAGGGTCCCACATGGCACGGCAGATCTCTCCTGTCTCGCTCGCTGCTCCCCTCAGGAGTGTATTTCAGTCAGACTGCCAGTTTTGTTCCCCGCTCTGTCTCTGGTGAATCCTCTCACCCTCCTGCATGTCTGGCCTATACCCTGATTCTTGTATAAATAAATAAATAAACAAATAATTTTTTTTTTAAAAAGAGATCAGATCGTTCCAGAAAGTATCTAAGCTTTGTTTTCCACTCTAGGATAGCTTTTTATCTCATTTCCAGAATAATCTCTTGAAGGCACACTGTACCCCACCCTGTACCCTCACCAATGTGGCTGGAGCTCTGCCATCTGTCTTTCACCTTAACCTGCACTCCGCCCACCTCCCAGGGCTTTCACTTCAGCGGCCTCCTTGACCTGTCAGTGCCTGCCACAGGGCCTTTGTACCAGCTCTTATCTCTGCCTGGAATATTCTTCCCCTCCATAGCAATGGTTGCTTTTTCGTTTCCTTCAGCTCAAGCATCATCTTATCACTGTGACCTCTCCTGCCCCACTGTGCATTCCTGTCAACTTCTGTCTCCTTCTACCCTCTTTTGTTTTCAGCAGAGAATTCTCACCACCCATGTAGGATGTAGTTCTTGTTTCTTTGTCTATTTCCATTTGAAGGTCACCTTGAAGGCAGGGATTCTGTCTGTTTTGTGTAGTACCCAGGATGGTGTCCGGACGTAGTAGGCACTCAGGAAATATAGATGACAACAGGGAAGGAAGGAGTTATTTTTCCATCCGTTTAGTTTGTTATAAAGACATTTTGCCCATTTAACAGTTGCTGAACAGATGAATAGCTTCCTTATAATTGAACTAGATTTAATCCCTTAAAGTTTTATAATGGAAATGATCCTTTCAGAATATCTTATTTTACATGTTCTCTAATTTTTTAAGAATGGAGTGGGGGGGAAGAAATTGTTTTTCCAGAGTGCAATTTAGGGGTTACTTACCAAAAGCCCTTTGCCCTGCTTGAGAGCACACAGGGCAATATAACCTAATGGGCCCTCACCCTCTTTGACCCACAACCTTTGTAGTTGGCCCTGGGTGCAGCAGACAATCACAGAAGAGTAGCCACATCCTGTGGTGCTATTAGCGGGGTCCCCTTGCCTGCTGTCCCTCATCCCCTGACACCTATCCCACTGGGCTTTGTGTTCTGAACATGCCCCTATGGCCAGATGTGCTCCAGGGAGAGTGGGAAATCACGCCATGCAAGGCACTTGGAGGGAAAACAACTAGTCTAAAATCAACTTGACCCCAAAGCTGAGAGCGATGGTTGGATCAGAAGAACCAGAGGCTGGGAACGTGGACACCACACGGCTTGTCTCTAAAGATAAGTGCAGGTCGTGAGAATAAAATCCACCCCCCACTTGTACCTGAGGACTCTCGTGAAAGTGATCAACTTTTCTTCCTAGCGTGGAAGTGATTCGTCTTGGGCAGAGCTACTTCATAAACTGGGACCTGCAGATGTACTACCCCGAGAAGGACACACCCGCAAAGGCGAGGATCACCACGCTGAACGAGCAGCTCGGGCAGATCCACTATATCTTTTCTGACAAGACGGGCACGCTCACGCAGAACATCATGACCTTTAAAAAGTGCTGCATCAACGGGCACATATATGGTGAGTGCAAGCCCCACATTCCCTGGGCACTGTGATTTGCCTGCCAGTGCCCTCTCAATGCAGTTCCCAGGCTGAGGACTAGAGCAGCTTGCTAGGGGCCTGGGGGGGACCTGTGCATGGGAGAGGTCAGCCGTCAGAAATTGGTGCCCATTCCTCAAAGATATAAACGGAATTACCATGTGTTCCAGGAGTTCTATATCTGGGTTTATACCCAAAGAAACTAAGGGGGGACTTGAAGAGACATTTGTACACCCATGTTTTAGTTGCATTATTCATAATAGGTAAAAAGTAGAAGCAAGCCTAGTGTCCAACACCCAATGACTGGATAAGGAAAATGTAGTGTATTCGTACGATGGAATATTACTTAGCCTTTAAAAGGAAGGACATACATACCGGCTTGTTGCAACATTGATGAACCTTGGGAATATTAGGCTAACAAAATAAGTGACTCACAAAAGGACAAATACAGGGTGGTTCCACTTATACGGGGTACCTAGAACTGTCGAATTCATAGAGATAGAAAGTGGCATAATGGTTCTCAGGCTGGTTTGTGGGGAGGGGGTAGATATTATTTAATGAATACAGAATTTCAGTATTATCAGTGGAAAGGGCTCCAGAGATGGGATGCAGGTGATGGTTCTTAATGCAGTAGACTTAAAAATGGTTAAGATGGTTGATTTTAAGTCACATGTATTTCACCATAATTATTTTTTTAAAGTTGATTTCCTTTCTAATATTCTGAAATGCACTGTTTTATTTTTTTTTAAAGATTTTATTTATCCATGCATACAATAGCAGGGGTACAGGCCAGAGATGTGGGGGTGAGAGGACTCACCAGAGACAGAGTGGGGAACAGAACAGGCAGACTGACTGAAATACACTGCTGAGTGGAGCAGCGGGCGAGACAGGGCGAGACAGCAATGTGCGTTGCTCCCTGGCCAGGGATCAAACTCATGCTGCCGAGGCTGCGGACTGCTTCATAGTGTGGTGCTTCCTTGTGCCTCCAGGGAGGCCCAAAATGCACTATATTTTTATAAAAATATTAAGGTTACTACTGTATTTAATCAGAGTGTTCTGACTTTTAAATAAAGACTTAATAGTACAGTATTTCCAAAAAGCCCTAGGGATGCAATATGCTTTCCACTTGGACAAAACTGTACTGTGAATGTTTTCATGTGATGAGCTTCTACGGAGACTGGGGAGCACTTAGGGGTGTGGGAGAGGGTCTTGTCTGCAGTGGATGTCCCTGCAGGGCTGAGGGAGGTATTCCACCTCAGGGATATGATTCTGGTCCAGAATCACAGACACCGGAACTTGAACATCTAGATCAGGAATCTGCAAATTTTTTTGGTAAATAAGCCAGATAAGAAATATTTTAACCACTGTCGTTTATGGCCTTGAGATAGTCTCCTTTGTATGTTAGGTGGTGTTTTTTTTTTAATATCTCTTAAAATATGTAAATGCCATTCTTAAAATTTCAGGCTATTTAGAGATATGCTATAAGACTGCTAGAACTGTTGCCTCCCACACCACCCCCCTGCCCACACACACACACATAGACCCAAAGCCAGGCGAGGCGGACTCTGGACACAGGTAAAGGCTCAATTTGTTTTGTCCTTTCTTTTTCTTAGGAGACCCTCGGGATGCCTCTCAACACAGTCATAGCAAGATAGAGGTGAGTCCACTAACTTACGGAGTTGTTTAGAGGTGGATTAGTTTCCAAACTCCACAAAATGGATAGCTTAAAAGAACAGAAATTTATTCTGTAATTCTGGAGACAAAATGTCTGAAATGAAAGTTCAGTAGAGCCATGCTCCCTCCAATGTTCCGGGGAAGAATCTTCCTAACTTCTGATGGTTGCCTGCAATCCTTGGTATCCTTGTGTTGTAAATATAACACTCAGATGTCTGCCTCTGTCATCACCTGGTCATCTTTTATATGTCTGTATCCAGATTTCCCTTCTTTTATAAAGATACCAGTCATTGTATGAGAGCCCACCCTAATCTGGTATGATCTCATCTTGGTGTGACTACATCTGCCAAGACCCAATTTTCAAATAAGGTCATAATCACACATTCCAGGGGTCTGGACTTCAACCTATCTTTTGGGGGCACACAATTCAACCTGCGATAGAGTATCTTGTTTTAAAGCAAGTGAAGCTCTTGATACTTCAAAAGGTGGTTTTGGATGAAGGATGGGCTTCCGTGGAAAGTTCCTATCATTTGTTGTTAAGTTCAAGTTGTTTTTTGCATCAAGTTTTCTTTTCCTTCTCCATGTCTTTCAGGAAGTTGATTTTAGTTGGAATACATATGCTGATGGGAAGCTTGCATTTTATGACCATTATCTCATTGAGCAAATCCAGACAGGGAAAGAGCCGGAAATTCGACAATTCTTCTTCCTGCTTGCGATTTGCCACACGGTCATGGTGGAAAGAATTGATGGTGAGTGTTTCTCTTGCATCTTGGACACTAGAGATCAGATTTTTCAGTGTACAGGTAATTCATGCTTGGGACGCAAAGGCATATAAAGTAGAATGCATGGCAAGCTTATCTCACTCAAGCACTTAGTACGTATGAGTACCTATCTCTAGATCGTGTATGGGATTGCAAATATGAAACAGTTCCTGGTGTCTGAAAATATATATCTTAATTCACATATATAATTTCAGATGTGTTTATCACTTTGTAAATAAAATCTTAACACTAATAGAAATAATTGATTCTTGAATTATCATAGTAGGAGAATCAAAATATTCCCTCTGTGATTTCTTAACATTATTTGACAATCTTTCCTACAAAATAAATTCAGAGATAAACTTTTATTTTCTAGATTCAGATGTGTTTTGTGTTTGAAATAATAGCAAAGTCTAGGCTTCCCTTAAAGCTATTTTGTCACTGAGGGAGAATAATTTGGGGCCTTTACATAGAAATTAGCGAAAATGACTTGTAGTTTCCATTACAGAAGTCTTTTTTTTAAGACTTATTTTATTTGTTTATGCATACAAGAGCTGGGGTGTAGGCTAGAGGTGTGTGGGGGCAGTGAGTGGATTTACCAGAGACAGTGGGGAGCAGAACAGGTGGACTGACTGAAATACACTGCTGAGGGGAGCAGTGGGTAAGACAGGAGAAGTCTGCTGTGCCATGTGGGTCAGCTCCCTGACCTGGGATCGAACTTATGCTTTAGTGGCTGCTGATAGCTTCACAGTGTTGAGACTTAACCCCTTGCACCACTAGGGAGGAACCCCACCTTTGTAGAATTCTTAAATGTGTTTTGTGCCAGCTTTGTTATAAGTTTGTTCAGTCTCACTGGGAGCTGGTCTGTTAATCATATAGGAATATAATGACCAATTGTATAGATATTCATGTGCATTAGCAGAAGAGAAAAAGCAAACCTTTTGGCATGAAACACTGTCCATTCTCTATTCAGTCATTGCACCAGATGAAGACCCCTCTCTGTTTTCTGACCCTGAGGTTTCATATGTAGCCACTGTAAAATCTCCAGAGGAGGATTATGCCTACAAACTTAGAGTGTAGAAGCTGAATATGATATCTTTCAGCACGTTTCAAAGAAACCGAATCTCCAGAGATAAATCTAGTAGTGCAATAAAGATAACAGCAGACTTCAAATTGGGGTAGATCCGGGGAAGGGGCTACTGGCAGACAACATGGGGTAAACTGAAAGAGATGACACCAGATGTGAGTAACTGAAGCAGAGTTCAAAGTTTGTTTGACTAGCCAAGCGCATGTTACTCGTTTAATAAGGATCAGGTATGATATTGTAAAGCAACTTGGCCCTCTTAGGTTTTGACTCATTAGTAAAATTACTTTGTTTTGAGTATGTGGTAGCATTATTTTGGCAATTTGCGGCCCAACGTTGTGCAAAAAGTTGTGCTTGCTCACACCATATGTGACGGGCAGTTTCTTTAGCACTGAGAATGATAGAAGGAAGTACAAGAAAAACTCACTTTGGCTTTAATCCATAAAGTACATTGAAACGGTTCCTTGGAGGGGCCATTCCTCAAAATCCTATAGATAAGGAAATTCAGACCCTGAAAACATGAGGACCCTGCCTGAGCTTATGATCCAAGTAAAACTCATTTTGGCTGAGTCCTCGCGCTCCACCATGCTTTGCTCTTGCAGTCTTGTGATCTCCCTTTATTGGAATGATTGCAATTGATTAGTTTCTTATTACATATAACATCAACAAGAGAGGGGAGGGAAGAAGTCACCACACACACACACACACACACACACACACACACACAAGTCATGCAGCACGTGGTTGGTGCGGCCCAAGTGTGCAGTATGTGTCATGGTCCATGGGGCTACGTGTGGAGAGGCTGCATTGGTTTTCTGTTTCTCTGTCGTGAATGCTCACAACTCAGTAACATCCATCACCCTTTCAGTAGCTCACAGCCCCTGAGGTTACAAGTCTGGGCACGGCATGACTGAATTCTCTGCAAAGGATCTCCCCCAAATCAGGGTCGAGCCGTCTTCTCATTGGAACTCACGATCCTTTTCCACACCCCTGTGGTTCCATGTTCTGGTGGAGGGAAACCAGCAGGAAATGAAGGCTTCAGTTTTCTGTACTTGGAGGACTAAGGTCTCCATTGCCTGCTGGGTGCTTTCCACTGCTTGAGGCTCCCTCCCTGGCCCCAGGTTGTTCCCTCTAACTTAAATACCAGCAATGGAGAGTCTTCCTTCCAGGAAACCCCTTTTATGCTTTGAATCTCTCTCCCATGGAAGAGCCTCTTTAAGGACTGACTTAATTAGGTTGGGAATAGCCTCATAATAATAATCTCCCTATCTTAAGTCAACTGACTTGGACCATAATTACATCTGCCAAATCTCTTTCCTGGGGCTGTATCTAGACTAATACCTGGGGGAAGGCATGTATCTACCCGTGGGGTGAGAATGTTGGTGCCATCTTACACTGTGACCTCCCAGAGGCCGTGGGTGAGCAGAGTTCACAAGTCTTGGAGGCCTTTCCTTCCTCTGAAGGTCTTTGAGTTGGGAATTGCCATGATCGGAGGCTTTGTTTAGAGCAGGAAGGCACAGGGGATCGGGCTGGAAGCTGAGGGCCTGGGCAGGGGGTTGAGGGATCTTTGGGAATGAGGAGAAAGCCATGGGTATGGGAGGTAGTCTAAAGTGATTGGAGGTGGAGAAGGGTTGTCTCAAGGGTAACTAACCCCTTTCCAGCTGGTGACTAGAAGACTGTGCCAGCTGGTAGCCATTGTGGAAACGCATCAGCATCAGGAGAAATGGGACCTGTGGTTTGAGCCTCATTTTTATTTGTATCCATTTTACAATCCACAAATTAGCCTGTAGAAGTCAAGAAAGTCTCTGGTTGCCTCCACGTGTGTGGTAAATAAAGTGTTTCCTCCAGCAATGTTTTCAGAGCATTATTTTTGAGTCCTCCCTGCACACATTAAGTTGGCGTTGGTCCAAATCTCTGAAATTTCTCCTGCCTTTATTAATCTGCAGTTCTGCGATTCCATTATGAAAATGAAATAGAAGGAATTTTCTTTTAATGATTAAAAATATCAGTGTTTGCTTCAGATAGGATTGTCTCGTGGGAACTTTACCACCTTTTATCATTTTGTTCCTTTTTACTGTTGGAAATGTTTGCCAATATGATGCAATATTTATCACCATCCCAGCTAATCTTGCCAAAAGGAGGGGCATGTGTTTGCACTCCTGCTTTGGTTAGCGCTGGTTAGGGATTTTGTGTGTGTGTGTGTGTGTGTGTGTGTGTTTTCAATCCTTTTGTCACTTCCAGCATATGACTCTCAGTGAACAGATACAAGAGAAAGAGAACCTAGCGTCATCCTCAATCACAAATTGTGCAGTAGTTAATTCTGACTTAGAGTAACCCATGTGACCAGCTGTGTGAAAAAGGGGTAGTTGGCTCTTCCAACACCCATCATCCTCCCAGGTAGACTGATGGCATTAAAGCTGCCCATCCATCCATAGCCTGCATCCTGGGTAACCCATAGTGGAAATGAATTTTTTGTGAAAATTCATCTGACCGTAGAAATACTTTTCTTTCTACATTCAACAGAAGAACTAGAACAGAAAAAAATAGAAAGCTTTGAATAGGCAGAATTTTGTTTTAATTGAAGTAACATTGCATTATGATAGATATAAGTTTCAGTTGTGCATCCTTAAGAATTAACATGTGCGTGTACTACAGTGAAATCACCACTAAATGTGCAATTCTATTCTTTGCCTACCAGTGTTGCCGTTTATCATGATTTACACATTCCCTGCCCCCTCCCCTTTAGGTAATGGTTAACTAGTCTTATAGTGTAATCGCTTGCTTTTGTTTTATTTATTTCATCACTTGGTTTCTCTGTAAAACCACATACCAGTGAAATCACGCAGTGTTTGTCTTCTGCATCAGGTTTATTTTACTAAGCACAATCCCCTCCAGTTTCATCCATCCTGTTATAAATGGCAGGATTTCATCTTCTTTAATATTCAATAGTATCCCATAGTGTATCTATACCATTTATTTATCCATTCAGCAGTTGATGGGAACTTAGGTTGTTTCCAGTTCTTAGCAATTTAAATAACATATTGTTTTAACTTCTTTTTTTAAAGATTTATTTATGCATACAAGAATTGGGGTACAGGGCAGAGGTGCAGGGGGAGGGGTGGTAAGAGGATTCACCAGAGACAGAGTGGGGAACAGAACAGGCAGACTGACTGAAATACACTGCTGAGGGGAGCAGCGGGCGAGACAGGAGAGGTCTGCTGCGCCATGTGGGTAGCTCCCTGGCCAGGGATCAAACTCATGCTGCAGTGGCTGCGGATAGCTTCATAGGTTGTGTCTTAACCCCTTGCACCACCAGGGAGGTACTATTTTAACTTCTTACTGAAGTACGACATGTACAGATCAATGCAGAATATAATCAATCCCCTAAGAGTCCCCTTTGTGCCCTCCAGTTACCGCCCCTCCAAGAGTAACTCTTGTCCTGACTTCATGTGCACAAGCCAGCGCTGGCGGCATGTGGTCTGTGCAGTTGGCATCGCCCCGTGTTTTCTTGTGTGTCTGCCTTGGCCAAATACAGTGTGATTTATTCCTGTTGTTGACGTTGAATAGACTTGTGAATAGAAGGCAGTTTTCCATCATTTAGCTTTTAAACATCAGGCTATGAAACAGATTGATGAATTTGGAGAAAGATTTTAAAATATAAGGATTTATATTTAGTGTGATTGAAATAGGTATATGAAAGAGGATTAGAAGGAACTGTAACACAATGACAATAGTGGTGTTCTGGGTGACGTGGCTGTGGAATTTCCTCCTCATTCTTGGCCAGTGTTTAAACTTGCAGCTTATAGACCTGTTTATTATGAGAAATAAAACGAGTTTAAAAAGCGTTAATGCTGGCAGACTCCTTAAGCATTTAGTGACCTCTTTTCCTGGGGATGTTTGGACAGTGGAAATGCCCTCACCCCCTCATGTGGACCTAAGCAGTGAAGCCTTAGTGCTGAGCTCTCAGTTCTCTCTGCCTTTGTTAGGTCAAATCAACTACCAAGCGGCTTCCCCTGATGAAGGTGCTCTGGTAAATGCTGCCAGGAACTTTGGCTTTGCCTTCCTGGCCAGGACCCAGAACACGATCACCATCAGCGAGATGGGCACCGAGCGGACATACAACGTTCTTGCCCTTTTGGATTTCAACAGTGACCGGAAGCGGATGTCCATCATTGGTAAGTCTCCCCCCAGCCCTGTCTGTGAATCACTCATTTAGAAGCTGCCTTTCACACTTTTTATTTAACAACTTGAAGATGAAGAAAGCAGGTGATGAGAAAACCTGCTGGCTCCTAGTTTCCACAGGTTTGTCAAAACTAGTGTTTTCTTCCTTCATTCTGCATGATGCCCATTACTCAAAGGGACAACTGTCCAGTGTGGAATCTGGGGTGGTAGCAAGATGGTTTACTCAAAACATGTGTTTTCCAGGGGCTTCTGCTCAGCACCAGCCTTTAGAGAAGAGAGAATGAGCAGGAAAGGAGTTCTGAGAAAAGCAAAGCTCTGTTTCTGAATAGAAAGCAAACCTCCAGTCTGGGCACATTATAACAGGTCACCAAGCAGAGATGAGGGCCACACCTTAATGGGAATTCTTCTCTCTGGTCATCATTTGAAACAATTTCAACCATAGCAGAAAAATTACATGAATTATTTAAAGAACTCCTGTATTTCCCATCCATATCCACCAACTATTCCCATTGGTTGTGTATTCTTCGTCATTTTCATTATATATCAATTCTTCTTTTTCTGAATCATGAGAATAAATTGCAGATTTAATGTCCTTTTCCTCTGAATACTTATATATTTCCAATGAACAGGAACATTCAATTATATCTATATTATATACAGTAAAATGATCTGAATCAGAACATTTAATATGCTATAATATTATCTCAGCTATAGAACATTTATAGATTTTACTGGGAATTTTCTTTCTTTTCTGGCTCAGGATCCAACCCAAGATCAAACATTGTGTGGTTAATCCTTACTGGTCTCCTTTAATCTAGGAAATTAAAGTTCCTCGATCTTTTTGTGATCTTTCACTCACTGACCTTCTTGAAAAGCACAGGCCTGCTATTTCTTGCAAAGACCCTCAAAATGAGTTTGTCCTACATTCCTTCATGATTAATTCAGCTGACACACTGTCAGCAGGAGGAGTACACAGATTGAAGCTGTGTCTTTCCCAGCATATCACTTCAGAAGGCACATTCTTTTGTTTATACCAATAGAATTATTGGTGAAGATTGTGGTGATCACTTGGCTAGTTGGTATTCACAAGATTCCTCCACTATCAGACTGGATTTATGACCAATAAAAATATATAGGTTTGTGCTCACTTCGGCAGCACATATACTAAAATTGGAACGATACAGAGAAGATTAGCATGGCCCCTGCACAAGGATGACACGCAAATTCGTGAAGCATTCCGTATTTAAAAAAATAAATAGGTTTGTCTAGTCAACCCGGATTAAGCACTTTTACTGAGTGCTTTATTATATGATTTAGGTCAATTATCAGGCCTCCCATCCACCTTAAAAACTTTAAATCTTGCTAGCTGTGAGGCTTATACTGCAATTAAATTACTGGATAGATCAAAAAATCCAAGAAAACAGTCACAAGGAGTAATATTATGATCTGGATATTAGAGGCAGTAAATGTTATGAAATTATAAGTAAGAAAGGGTCTTGCAGTTGGTATGGCAAATGAAAGAAATTTATGAGCACAGGGCATAACAGGCATAACATATAGTAGGAAGTCAGGGAATATTTGCTGAAAGAGTTATCAGAGGCTGTGTTATCTTTCAAGTCAGCAATGGAGAATCCCTTCCAACAAAGCTCCTTTCATGTCCCAAAGAACAACACTCCCCAGCCCCTTTTAAATTTTTTTTTATAGAGGCATGCTTTATTTATTTGTTTGCTGGTTTGTTTGTTTTGTTTATACATGCACTGGGTACAGTCAGAAGCGCGGGAGGGTGAGAGAATTCACCAGAGCCAGAGCGGGGAGCAGAGCAGGCAGAAGGACCGAAGTACACTGCTGAGGGGAGCAGCGGGCGGCAGGAGAGGTCTGCGCGCCATGTGGGACCCTCCTCCGGTATCGAACCGGCGCCGCAGAGGCCGCGGGCAGCTTCGCAACCCAGCGCTCAACCGCTGCGCCACCGGGGAGGCCCCCCAGCCCCTTTTAAAGACTGACCTAATTAGAGTGGGACCATCCAGATAATCTTGCTATCTTAATTCAACTGACTTGGAACACTGAGGTGAATCTTTTCACTGCAGAAAGTGGCTTTGTTTCCAAGTTGTTGAGAGCAACATTTTTTCTAGGTGCACCAATGATTTAATAGTGAATATCAATACAGCAGTACTTCAAATTAACTGTATAAATGTAGTTTTCTACTAAGAAATCAAATCTAACTTACTTGCTTTTCCTTCCCTTGCTACTAGTAAGAACCCCAGAAGGCAATATCAGGCTTTATTGTAAAGGTGCTGACACTGTCATTTATGAACGGTTACATCCAATGAATCCTACAAAGCAGGAGACACAGGATGCCCTGGATGTAAGTCTTGCCTCTAATCTTTATGTCACAATTCCAAACTTAATTTCAGGTATACTATTTCTATATGGTAAATGTTGACCTTCCCTGCTATTGGTTTAGTTGGTTGGAGAGAGCAGCAAAGTGGGAGTGTGATGAGCTCATTCTGATTCTGCCCCCACCAGTGACTTCATAGAAAGTGGCCCTGGTGCCCTTGATAGCATCCAAGTTGGCAGGATCTACAGGACTGGTTCAGTGAACTTGAGCAAGCACCATGACCACATGGAGCTGTAATCTCAATATCTGTGTGGCCCCCAAGAATTCCACCAACCTTCTAGTGTACAACAGGAAAGAAGGCATTCATTCCTAGCAAAGCGATGCATGGATAATTGAGTCCTGGTGCTTCTGTTATGGAATCAGTTTGATTTTCCTCCATTCAAACTTGTTATCTTAGGGCACTGTGTCCTTGATCCAATAATACTGCAATGATTCTAGGAATTTCTCTTTTGCCATTGCCTACCAGTCCCCATATTGATTTGGCTCTGTAGAGTGTGGTGGACACCCATCAGACCTGGTGTCCCAATTCTACCTCTTGTTTTGTGCCCTTCGGGGAAATGGTTAACGTCTCACATGAATCCTTGTCCATGTGGAAGAGGACAGGATAATTCCTACCAAGGAGGGTTGTTGCAAGGGAAAGCATCTTATACATTTCCCACACATAGTAGGTACTAATAAAGGGTTGTTTCTTCTCTTTGAGTTTGATTGCATTTGGGGGTTGGTTAGAGGTCCTCAGGAAGAGCCTGATAAATATGTTGCTTACTAAGTGAGGTCACACTTAAGGTTATATGTGTCACTGAAGCAGTCACGTGTTGATGATTTCTCATGAAGATACAAAAAAAAGCTGTCTAATAAAATCATGCAGAACCTTCCAAAGGTTCTTTGAAAGCAAATTCTCAGTTGGGTGAACAAGGTCTTCCATCTTGGCAAGACAAGATGTGATTATGAAGTAACAAAAAATTTTTACTGGATCATATATTTTTTTAAAGATTTATTTATTTATACAAGCACTGGGTACAGTCAGAAGCGTGGGAGGGTGAGAGAATTCACCAGAGCGGGCAACAGAATAGGCAGAACAATGGAACACACTGCTGAGGGGAGCAGCGGGTGGCAGGAGAGGTCTATCGGACCATGTGGGACCCTCGCCGGCGGCTAGGGATCGAACCAGCGCTGCAGAGGCTGCCGGCAGCTTCACAGCCCAGCGCTCAACTGCTGTGCCACCAGGGAGGCCCTGGTTCATATTCAAGCTGGTAAATGGCTTTAATCTGCTCACCATGATTAAATTTTCCACATATTCTTTTTCATTAAAATGTTTTATCCAATCTTTAACGTGATATATGAATTTCAGAACTGGTTTGAGAGAATAATGCTTGACTGAAAATTCCTAGTTGATGGGGGCTTGCAGTAGTTTGTGGGGAACAAATTATAAAGTTGTCAGGTCTACACTTATAACATTACTGCACCAAGGCAACTCCCTTCATCTCTTACTTAGTCATTAAAAGAAAAGGACTTTCGGGTCTTCCCGGTGTGCAGCGGTTGAGCGCTGGGTTGCGAAGCTGCCCACAGCCTCTGCAGCGCTGGTTTGATCCCCGGCTGCCCGGCGAGGGTCCCACTTGGCGCGCAGACCTCTCCTGCCACCCGCTGCTCCTCTCAGCAGTGTATCTCGTCAGTCTGCCTGTTCTGTTCCCCACTCTGTCTCTGGTGAATTCTCTCACCCTCCTGAGCCTCTGGCTGTACCCAGTGCTTGTATAAATAAACAAACAAACAAACAAATATATAAATAGAAAAAAAGAAAAGGACTTTCTTGGTTCTAATGACTTGATTTAGCAGAAAAGTATGCCTTTCCCTCCAAATAATTTGAGAACTACAAATACAGTCCTAGGAGACTACTGAGAAAAATAAAATGATTATATTTATGCAGAAGTAATCTTTCATAATCTCTTTTTAAATTCACTTATTTCAAAGTAAATTTGCAAACTTGATCTTGAATTACATAAAATTAACTATTGTTTGGATGAATGGATTATCTTTCAAATCAGATCTTTGCAAATGAGACTCTCAGAACCCTGTGCCTTTGCTACAAAGAAATTGAAGAAAAAGAATTTGCAGCATGGAATAAAAAGTTTATGGCAGCCAGTGTGGCCTCAACTAACCGAGATGAAGCACTGGATAAAGTGTACGAAGAGATTGAAAAAGACTTAATTGTGAGTTTTAACCTTCATAACATTTTGCTTCCTATTTTAAACAGACTTGGAAATTGTATTAAGTTTTATTACATTTTGAATCTCTTGCTAGAAAGATAATTCTAACTCTAGACTTTGAAATTGGCACAATATAACTAGGTCATTTGAATTTCTTTTGTTCAGCAAGCAAAGTGAAGCTGCCATTATGAGAAACCAAAAGACAGAAAACATGATGAGAGATTATAACCTAATTCTATTATTTTTTTATTTCACTTATTAAAATTCTTTATGATTTTTATACCATACAAACTAGCATATCCTTACTGTGAGAATTATGGAAATGATTTATATTTTATAAAATATTCAAATAAGAAAAAAATGTCATTTGTAAATAAAATTTTTCAAAGTTTTAAATTTATTGCTTTCACAGTTTAGATTAACCTGAAATATTCAATATATAACAGATATTGAGCTTTAACAATATTGGCTTATGTCTGTATGAAGTGCCATAGCCACAATGAAAGCGTATTTTCTTGCATTACTGTATTGGTAAATTACTTTAAGCAAAGGTTGTTGTTTGGATGAATGGATTATCTTTCCATTGGTTTGCAGGGAATTTGTGAAATGCAGTAGCTCTCCGTATTGGTGATCATCATCAACCCCCAAAAAGCACCAACTGAGGTGTATTATTTTTACATGAATTGTACTTAGAGGCCATTTTGGGCTAATTTGCTAATTCCTTTCTTTTTTATGTACATTCCAGCTCTTGGGAGCAACAGCTATTGAAGACAAGCTACAGGATGGAGTCCCAGAAACCATTTCAAAACTTGGAAAAGCTGACATTAAAATTTGGGTGCTTACTGGAGACAAAAAGGGTAATCTATTGTGTAGAGAAGTATATCTGCTAACTTACAAATATTCATAGCTCCTGTTCCCTTGAACAACACGACTCCCTCAGACTTTGCATATAAACACCATCCATTTTCTTTGGGACAGAGACATTTTCCCTAAGAAATCCTTTTGTATTATTCTAACCTACCCCGTTCCTTCCAGCTGAGATCCCGGTTGTGTCTTTTTGTTTGTTTGTTTTATTTTTAAATTTTTTTAAATTTTATTTTTATATTCCCCCATACAATTGCAACCCCTTATTTTTTTTTTTAAAGATTTATTTATTTATACAAGCACTGGGTACAGTCAGAAGTGCGGGAGGGTGAGAGAATTCACCAGAGCCAGAGCGGGGAGCAGAGCAGGCAGAAGGATCGAAGTACACTGCTGAGGGGAGCAGCGGGCGGCAGGAGAGGGCTGTCGCGCTATGTGGGACCTTCATCGGCAGCCAGGGATCGAACCAGCGCTGCAGATGCTGCGGGCAGCTTCGCAGCCCAGCGCTCAACCGCTGCGCGGAGGCCCTGCAACCCCCTTATTTTGACCTCAATCCCTCCTTTCCCTGCTTCCCCCCCAATAGTGTGTGTCTCGTTCATAGTTGTTTGTTGATTTTGATTTTTTCTTTCTTATAGTTATTCTTTTTCCTGGTCCCTTATTTAGGTTTTCTAGACTCCTGCTATGAGTGAGACCATCTGGTATTTTTCTTTTTCTTTCTGGCTTATTTCGCTGCGCATGATCCCTTCCAGCTCCATCCATGTTGCTGCAAATTGCATGAGTTTATCTTTCTTGATTGCTGGGTAATACTCCATTGTGTATATGTACCACATCTTCTTGATCCAGTCATCTATTTTTGGGCATTTGGGTTGTTTCCAAAGCTTAGCTATTGTAAATAGTGCTGCTATAAACATAGGGGTGCAGGTGCTCTTTGGAATTAACAGTTGTGTCTTAACTGTGATTAGTCTTTTCTCTCCAGCTAGAAGTGAGGCCCTACCTTACAGCCTTTCTTGTCTCTTCCGTCCTTCCGAGCACATAATCATTTGTTGGTCATAGGTTAGAATACTACAAAATGCTGGGTTTTTGTTTTCTTGCCCATTATATTTCTTGAAAACTATTAAACTTTTATAGCTAAGGGAAGATTTTCATTTTCAAATTTGGACTCAAAAAGGGATTGATGAGCATTGATACTTTACCCCACAAGCCTCCCACAGAAACCAGATAATTTCTCTTACTCTGACATCATCAATAGTTTACACATTCTGATAAGCTAAGGGAAGCACAAGTTAAAACTGTGACTTTTAACAAACAGCAAAGGAAGGTGATGGAAAAAGAGGGATTAAAAAAACCTCTCCAGTAGGAGCCTCATGGCAGGATTGATGGACATGGTCCCCCCACCACCCCCATAACAGGATGATTAAACCATGTAAAATGAGAGCACTTAGTATTTCAATGAACATTAGTTACATATAACCAGCTCCTGTATTTGATATTATTTCATATTAGTGAAAACATCATAAGCCTATGCTTATTACAGAGAAAGAGCTTTTTCTTTGGGATTTCTATCCACTGCCACAGAAAAACAGCTATTTGATTGAATCTAACTTTCGTCAATTGAAAAAAAAAGCCATCCTTACCAGCTAATTTCCATGATTAAATTCATCAGTAGAGACGGCACTTGACATAATCTTTTTCTGTTGTAGAAACTGCTGAAAACATTGGATTTGCCTGTGAACTTCTCACCGAAGAGACCACTATCTACTATGGGGAAGATATAAAGTAAGTAAGGACCTGTGGTTTGGAAACATGAAATGTCTCATTTTCATAAAGGCTTGTGGGGTAAAGATGCAGGAGACGTAACAGATAAGGAGAAGTCGGGCAAGACTGTCATCTGGGACAGTTTCTTCGCTTTTAAATGAAATGAGAGACCGACAGGCAGCTCCGAGTTAACATAGTCCGACCCCAGTTGTAAGAAAACGTGAGGTCTTTACTTGCCTTTCAAGGGGGTGTTATCCCTTAGAAGTCTCTGGTGCTTTCTGCTGAATGGGAGTGGGCCTGAGATGTTATGAACAAATTAATATGAACTGTAATCATGTACTGCCTTTTTTAGGAATTTTATGGAAAAAAAAATAGAAAGCAAAACCCACAGTACTTCCTGGAAGGAAATATGTGGGAGGGTTGCAGCTGTCATCTTGTCCAGATGGGGCAGATCTGATGTTTGGAAGCTCAGCTTATGCTGAAACACTCAGCCCCAAGTCAGAGTCACAGCGGACCTGGAAATGTCCCTGGGAAGGCCCTGTCTTATGTGGCTACGTGTGCACCAAACCACAGCCAGGATGTTTGCAGATGGCTCATGCCATGTATTCCTCTAATTTTTTCCCTTACAACCTCCCTGGGACTGTCACAAGGGCAAATTAAGCTCTTACCCAACACACTTGCCTCCTCTGCTAAGATGATGAGGGAGTTGGGTGGAACCAGCCTTCATTCTAATGTAGATAATAGAGTTCCCTTCCCCCCCACCTTTTTTTTTATTGCCATTATTTCAATCATAGCTTTTGCAAGCCCTTCCAGTCTACCAGGCACTCTGCTAAATTAAACAAAGTTAAGTAGGCTTATAATCTAAGTAGATCAGTTTTGTTTGAATAAAGGTACACTAACCAGGTCTCTGCTTTTAGGTTTTTAAAAGATATCAATAGACAGGGACCTCCCTGTGGCGTAGACGTTGTCTCAGCACTGTCACCACTACTCCCCAGCCAGGGAGCTGACCCACGTGGCACAGCAGACCACTCCTGTCTTGCCCACTGCTCCCCTCAGCAGTCTATTTCAATAAATCCACCTGTTCTGCTCCCCATTCTGTCTCTGGTGAATCCTCTCAACCCCCAAACCTCTGGCCTATACCCCAGTTCTTCTACACATAAATAAAATCTTTTTAAAAAAAGAGCAATAGACAAATACTAATATGTTCACCTACTAAGTAGTTTCGTGGTTTCAAATAATTTGGTTAATTTAGCCTATGGTCTTGTTTATTTCTTATAAATGGAGGTATTACGTTTCTGGTTTCTCTTTTGAAAGCATGCAAAAATTGGGCCCCAAGCTAAATTAGAAGATAAAATCTATGCAGCTTGCAAATTTTATGATCATGCTCTTAGTTAATTCTACCATTCTAGAGAGCTGAATCATCCTTTCTAGACAGTTCCTGAAATGATTCTTGTGGAATGGTTTGCATACAAAGCTTATATTTTTCTTTTCCAACATCCACCGATGGATGAATAGATGAACAAAATGTGGTCTAGCCATACAATGGACTATTCCTTTACCCTTAAAATGAAGGGAATTCTGACATAAATTACAGTATGGATCAACCTTGAGGACAATGAAATAAGTCAATTTATAAAAGACAAGTACTGTATGATTCCCTTATCTGAGTTTCCTGGAGTGATGAAGTTCATAGAAACAAAAAGTAGAGCCAGCAGCTGAGGGGAGGGGAGTGGATGTTGGTATTCAAGGGTACAGGGTTTTTTGTTTGAAAGATGATGACGAAGTTCTGGAGGTTGGTTATATACAATGTGAATATACTTATTACTAGTGAACGTTGACATTTAAAAATATTTAAGATACATTTTGTGTTAGGTGTTGGTTTTGGGTTTTTTTTTTTTTTTTTTTGTAACCACAATTTAAAAAAGATTCTAGGGCCTCCCCGGTGGCGCAGCAGGTTGAACACAGCGTTGTGAAGCTGTCCACAGCCTCTGCCACAGGGGTTCAATTCCCGGCTGGCCAAGGAGAAACCCACATGGCGCGGCAGACCTCTCTGTCTCACCTGCTACTCCCCTCAGCAGTGTATTTCGGTCCTTCTGCCTGTTCTGCTCCCTGTTCTATCTCTGGTGAATTCTCTCTCCCTCCCTCGCCTCTGGCTGTACCCCAGTGCTTGTATAAAATAAATAATAAATCTTAAAAAAAAAAAGATTCTATGTCAAAATTATGTCACGGTCAAGTGCCTGTTTATGGTCTTTTAATTGAAACTCTTCAATTCCCTTTCCCCCAGTGCTCTTCTTCACTCAAGGATGGAGAACCAGAGGAACAGAGGTGGGGTCCACACAAAGTTTATGCCTCCAGTGGATGAACCGTTTTTTCCATCTGCTGGAAAACGTGCCCTAATAATCACTGGTTCATGGTTGGTATGTATAGAGTTCATTAGAGACTAACTTTGGAGGGTTTCCCATATGAACTGCCAACTTACACATCCCTTAGTTTGAGACTTAATTATATGAAAAATTATAACATCTTTGGATCATTGCTTCATGGATTTTCTTTTTTCCCTGCACATTTTTTGTATTTGCTTAAATTTTTAATGTAAATATGTTTTCTAATCAAAGTATTATCATAGGGCCTCCCTGGTGGCACAAGGGATTAAGCACCACACTATGAAGCAATCTGCAGCCTCTGCAGCACGAGTTCGATCCCCCGCCAGCCAGGGAGCAACCCACATGGTGCAGCAGACCTCTCCTGTCTCGCCCGCTGCTCCCCTCAGCAGTTTATTTCAGTCAGTCTGCCTGTTCTGTTCCCCACTCTGTCTCTGGTGAATCCTCTCACCTCCCCACATCTTTGGCCTGTACCCCAGCTCTTGTATGCATAAATAAATCTTTAAAAAAAAATCTTTAAAAAAAAAATTATCATCAATGATGTCAACTAAGAACTGGTGAATGAGGTTCTTGATATAAAAATGGGTGTAATTGTTCCTCTCCCTGATTTCACAGAATGAAATTCTCCTAGAGAAAAAGACCAAGAAAAATAAGATCCTGAAGCTCAAGTTCCCAAGGACAGAAGAAGAAAGACGCTTTCGGACGCAGAGTAAAAGGCGGATGGAAGTTAAGAAAGAGCAGCGCCAGAAGAACTTTGTGGACCTGGCCTGTGAGTGCAGTGCCGTCATCTGCTGCAGGGTCACTCCCAAGCAGAAGGCCATGGTGGTGGACCTGGTGAAGAGGTACAAGAAAGCCATCACGCTGGCGATCGGAGACGGGGCCAATGATGTCAACATGATCAAAAGTGAGTCAGTGAGACCGGGATCGCTGATGAGAACAAACTGCAGGAGCACCTGGGGGTGGGGGGGGGAGCTGGTTTTTTGGTTTTTTGGTTTTTTTTAACCCATATTTCATTGCTTAGATTTTCATCAAGTAGCTATTTAATCCAGGCATTTACCCATGCTGACCACACCTATGGTGCCACCCTCAGGGCACCTGGGGTGTCCCCACAGGAGAGAACAGGTCCTCCCAGAATGGGAGAAAGTGCCAAAGAGCGACCAAGTTCATACGGATGAATCTATCCTTAGTTGTTTCCTTCTTTTACATGTTTGGGGCTCTCTGTCTGTTTCTCCTTTCACACTACGCTAGGACTCATTAAAAATCCTGCTATTTTGTACATTTTGAAAAATTTCTGCTGAGTTTGGCATAAATTGTTGAATTCTCTTTGGCATCTAGTTTGCGAATACTCTGTCACTGAAGCATCTGTTTCCGGGGCTCTCTTCTTGCCTTTGGTAAATGTGTTGGGACTTCATCCCTGGGTGGTGGTGTAGACTCAGGAGTGCACACCTGGGTCCTCTCACCAGCCTCCCAGCCTCCCTGGAATTCTGCCAAAGGTCGTTTTGCTGGTTGGGGCACCCTAGGTGCCCATAAATTTTAAGGATTGTACCCTCAGGCAGAAATACAGTTGTGCTGGTGGTAAAGTATGTGGAGCCAAACTCATATCTACATGTCTGAATCCTGGCCCTTTCTCTCCAGCCCCCACTGCTGTAAGGAATTATAATGCAAACGCCCAAACTAGTGAGACAAGAATATTTATCCTCATCCCACTCCTCAAACAGGCTGTGTCACGTGGGGCTTGTGCTCAGGCCTGTTTTCTGAAAACAAAAAAAATGGTTTCTTTTGTCACCTCCAGCTTTGTGAGAAGGACAGTGTTAAATGAGCTACTATAAGCATGTCCTGTTGTGCTGCACTTTAAAGCCTCATGTATAACTAGACTTTTAATTCAGCTATTTTGTAACTCATGTGTCTGTCTCTTTCTTTTCTTAGAGTCTCTTCCTCCTCCTCCTTGATATATATACTAAGAATCTTCCGACTTTATCTTCCTCAACAGGAGTCAGCTGTGTGAAGTATGTCTTGCTCCTTATTATGTGTCTGTCACCACTGCCAGTGTAATTCCTCACCACTGTGTTCTGTGAGTCCTTTGCTGCCATAGAGGTGCCTCTGAATTAGACCTATTTTTCCTTTGTTGCCAGCTCTTGTTTTTTTTTTCCATGGTGTTACTTTAGCTGTGCCAAAAGAGCAAGGAACTCAAACATTTTTATTCTGTTATAATGTAGATGTCTAGACCTTGGGGAGAAGAAGGTTCCTTTGCAGATTTATCATCTGATTATGTGACAATTTGTGTTGCTAGTTCCCCAGTTGTGAAAGGGATCTCAAAAAAGTCAGGCACAGATGAACTGATAGACTGATATTTCTTAAATCACTTACACAGCTTTATTAAGCTCTATTATGTGGCAGGTGCTTCCGAGCATGACTTAGGAAGTATCTGTTTGGGGCAGAAAGCAAGGAAACACCAAAATCTCCTTGGAAGTCAGTGACATTATCCAAGTAAATGTTAGTACTTTTTTGTGCTTTGTAAAGTCTGAACTCTTTCAACTGCATAAAACAATACACATAAATTGTTATTTGTAAAGTCCTCAAAAATGGCCACTAGGTAACATGTTTCATCCTCGGTGGTCTAGTGGATGAGGGGGGCACTGCTGCCACCACATGCTTATCTAACAAGACTCTGATGACACCCATGGGCAGCCCTTCTGTGTCTGAGGGTATCTACTGGCTGGTGGGTGTTGTTATCCCTTGGCCTAAGTCCCTTGAAATGAACCAGCACATGAGACAGAGTTGAAGGGCTGGAGGAGATGATCAGTGTGTTGAGGAATTATGAAGATCACAACTGGAACTTAAAAAAGTCAAGGTGCCTATTTTGGAGTTTGGGAGGCAGCAGGCCTTTGCAGTGCCTCTGTTCGGTTGCCTTGGGCTACCTGGGGAATGATATCCGAGTCCATTCTGCCTAGTGTCCCAGGTCTGCTGGGCAGGAAGGCTGGGCTGGATGCAGGGCCCAGGACCTGGGGGCTCCTTCCTTGGCTCCAGAAGAATCTTTACCCTTCCCTCTGTTGCTGGTTCAGGAAAGAAGGCAGCTGTGGTTTCTTTTCTTTCTTTCTTTTTTTTTTAAGATTTATTTATTTATGCATACAAGAACTGGGGCACAGGTCAGAGGTGCGGGGGGTGAGAGGATTCACCAGAGACAGAGTGGGGAACAGAACAGGCAGATTGACCGAAGTACACTACTGAGGGGAGCAGCGGGCGAACCAGGAGAGGTCTGCTGCGCCATGTGGGCAGCTCCCTGGGGGATTGAACTCGTGCTGCATTGGCTGCGGATAGCTTCACAGGTTCCATCCCAACCCCCTGTGCCACCAGGGAGGTCCAGCTGTGGTTTCTTTCTTTTTTTTTTTTTTTTTTTTTAAGATTTATTTATTTATACAAGCACTGGGTACAGTCAGAAGCGCAGGAGGGTAAGAGAATTCACCAGAGCCAGAGCGGGGAACAGAACAGGCAGACTGACGAAATACACTGCTGAGGGGAGCAGCAGGCATGGCAGGAGAAGTCTGCGCGCCATGTGGGACCCTCGCCCAGCAGCCGGGGATTGAACTGGTGCTGCAGAGGCTGCAGGCAGCTTCGCAACCCAGCGCTCAACCACTGCGCCACCGGGGAGACCCCAGCTGAGGTTTCTTAAGAAAGAATAATTGAGCAACCACAACTGGTCATAGAGCTGTTAGTGTGTTTTGACAGGGGTTCATAAATTCTGAATAAGGCACAATTGATTCTATTTTGTTAGAACTGCAAAATGTTATTGGGTTTTGGACAAGTCACTACATTAGGTTTTGAACTTGTCAGACATCAGGGTCTGCCATTGGGGCAGGGCTTTGGAGCTTGTGAGATGGGCAACTGTGCCGAGCTGGGGGCCAGGGTCAGAGTGACGATAGGTTGTGTCCTCCGACACATGCTCCCTAAATGAGCTCACTTCGTAACACTGAAGAGCGAGACCTTATTCGTAATTCTCGAAGTTGAAAATGTGATATAACATCTCTTGGAAGGATGGATAAAATGGTGGTTTTCATTTTGATCCATTCTGGAGCCTCGGCGCACCCCACCCTCCCAATGTGTTAAGGTCACATTGGGCCATAATAAGCTTTTGAATGTTTGGTATCTTGGTTAAAGCTGCCTTGATTACATGTGGTGGAGAACAACTAAAGCTACCTTAAGATAAAAAATGAAATTATTTTAAAAGATACGAAGATATCTCATGTCCAAGAGACCAGGCATCAGGAAGATGCTGGAACAAGGACCTGGATCTTCACCAGCAACCCAGTATCTGTCTGTCTTTCCTTCATTCTACTTTATTTCTCTGCCCTTTAAAACTATATCTCACAACTATATCTATCTTAAAATTCCAGTCCAACATTCTAAGTCCTCATTGCAGCCAGCTGGGTCCTCCATCAGTCAGGTGTTGTAAAGAAACACTCCTGGGTACTTTAACTGGGAAGTGACTAATCCAGGCAACTGGGCGCTCTGGACAGACTCGAGAATGGGGTTCTGAGCAGAGTCTAAAGTCTGGGTCACTCCCCCGCCAGATGCGCTCTCTCTCTGAGGGTCCTCTGAAGAGCCTTCAGCTGAAAAGCCTCTGCCCTCGTCGGCCCACGAGGGCAGTTAGAAAATGGAGATGGGCTTTGTCCCAGAAATGTCAAACAGGGCAGGGCAGCTGGGCTCCCGTTCACCTCTGCTTCCAAGCTGGGTCAAGGAGTGAAACCTAATTCAGAGAGCCGAGCTACAACGTCTGGGCACCGGAGGGTTTCTATTTGCTTTCCCTTTAGAACAAGGGTGGATTGAAGGTTGAGAGCCAATTTGTAACATCTACCACACATCACCTATCTGTCTGTGACTGACTCAGCTTTGGTCAGGGAGGCACAGCACACACAGGTGCCTGAGGCTCACCTGTGGGTGGGAGGGGTGGCTTACGAGCTGTGCAGATAATGCCAATGGAATTCACCACCCACCTGAGCTCCTTTCACAAACATTTATGGAGGCCCAACCATGTGCTGTAATTAGCAACTTACACCTCTCACTTTGAGTTCAGAGGGCGGGGAGCAAGATTTTTCATATGTATTGTTCCATGAATGTCTTTGTTCCTTGTTTTTGCCGTGGAAACATTTTTATCTTCCCTCTGTTTTGCCTTGCGATTCAGTTTTTTTTCCCTGTGCCCTCTAGCTGCCCACATAGGCGTTGGGATAAGCGGACAAGAAGGCATGCAAGCCGTGATGTCGAGCGACTATTCCTTTGCCCAGTTCAGATACTTGCAGAGGCTGCTGCTGGTTCACGGCCGCTGGTCTTACATCCGGATGTGCAAGTTCCTACGATACTTCTTCTATAAGAACTTCGCTTTTACCCTGGCTCACTTCTGGTACTCCTTCTTCAACGGGTACTCGGCACAGGTAACACAAAGGTGCCACCGTCCTCGTGTTACTTGAAGAGCAGATTGTTTCTCTAAAACCAAACTACCCCTGGACAAACGCTTCTGCCCTCCTCACTTGTTTCGGTGCTCAATCTGAATAGTTACAGCACAGGTTTATTAAGACCAGGGATTACTTTTCTCAACTGTTTTCTGGTGCAAATATTACCTAAAAAGGTAGAATTTTTTGCTGGTCTACTGGCTTGTGCCTTCACCTTAGATTAGAATACTGATATCAAGTTGTTGGACTCTGGAACTATGAAGTTGCATTGTGACCCGGGCTCCAGTGATTCTATCAATTTGGGGTGATGGCTGAGGTACTGTCATGTCTCCACTTGTTGCTTTGTTTTGCTAAAATGGGGGTGGGGGGCCTATGGAGCATGTTTACATGATGATACAGAACCTCATTAGTAAAAGGTAAACCTAAGTCAGTGTCTGGATGCAAACAAGCCGCTCTGACCTATGCCACAAAAGGGCCAGGAGCGACTTGGCACCTGGGGGGCCTTCTGTGTAGGACTGTGACAGTGGGTGCTGGGTGAGCCCCTGTCTTCTATCCCACCCTGAGGTGAGGGTGTGCACAGACCTACCTTTGAGGTCATAATTTCTTATATCCAGTCAAATCCTGTTTTACAAAACATAAATGGGACTGCTGGGCTTGTAAGTTAAAGAAAATATGAATGCTACTTGTGCGCTTTTGGACCGGTTTTATTTTTCCAGCATAATTCACATACAATAGACTCCTTTTCCAAAAACTTACTGGAGGCTATGTTCCCTCCTATTTAAGAAGAAATTCGTTTCTATAGGAAGGTCTTTGATTCTGCCCATTCCATAGAAACGAACGTGTTATTTACAGCTGTAGATGAGGGCTGTTGATGCTGGCAGGGTAAGACCCCACTCAGTCTGCGGACATACCCACTTTGAGAGGGAAGGGGCAGGCTGGCAATACTTCCCAATTGTGACTCTGATCTCCTCGCAGACTGCATACGAGGACTGGTTCATCACCCTGTACAACGTGCTCTACTCCAGCCTGCCTGTGCTGCTCACGGGGCTGCTTGATCAGGTAGGAGCCTCATGATGCTTGGGGCAGTTCCAACAGCCCCAGCACCCCTGAGACAGGGTAACAGCATTTCTTTGGTTTTCACTTCATTCTTAGCAAACTCTTACACTTCTGTTGTCAGGCAACAAGGTACCTGCCGTGCTGCTTGTGTGTATAGTAAGGAGAGTGCACTGAACTCCTGGCCAAGGTTCTTCCCTCCTCTTAGACACTAACACTTTCTTGTTAAGACACCTGACAGCATAATAACAATCATTTTAAATGATAATTTTTTTAAAGATTTATTTATGCATATAAGAACTGGGGTACTGGCCAGAGGTGCGGGTTGGGGGAGGATTCACCAGAGACAGAGTGGGGAGCAGAACAGGTGGATCTACTGAAATATGCTGCTGAGGGGAGCAGCGGGCAAGACAGGAGAGGTCTGCTGCGCCATGTGGGTAGCTCCGTGGCCAACCAGGGATCGAATTCGTGCCGTAGAGGCTGCGGACAGACCCACAGTGCTGTGTTCAACTCCTTGCACCACCAGGGTGACCCTTAAATGATAATTTTAATACTTTTCAAAACATGTATTTAGTTCCTAAATTGTCCTAAACTATCCACCTTCTAGATAATCTAGTAACAGTTGTTAGAGAAAGCGCTTTAATGAATAAAAACAATTTGGAATCCACTTTGGACAACTTGGAATAAAGTGATCAGCATAGCAAAAAAAAGTCTGGGAAAGAGTGTGAAAACAATCACCCCTAACCCCCCTCACTAAAAACAGCCTCCTTAGGTGTTTTTTTGAATTACCAACTTGGGTTCTTTCCATACGCAACAAGATAATAAATGTCTCCCTAGCCCCTCTCTGAAATGACTAGCAAGTATGGTGGACTAAAGTATTATGGTCATCTCTACACATTAAAACTATCCAGTCTTTGCCCTACTAGTAAGCTGAAACACTTGGTGAGAGATTCAAGTTGTAACAGCTCTGAGTCTTGAGTCTTGGATCCTAAAAGAGGGTACAAAGCTCTAATTGTGTTTTCCCTTCAAGGATGTGAGTGACAAACTGAGCATTCGCTTCCCTGGGCTCTACGTGGTGGGCCAAAAGGACTCACTATTCAACTATAAGAAATTCTTCGCAAGCTTGTTGCATGGGGTTTTGACGTCGATGTCCCTCTTCTTCATACCTCTTGGAGCTTATCTGCAGACCGTGGGCCAGGATGGAGAGGCTCCTTCAGACTACCAATCTTTTGCTGTCACGATTGCCTCTGCTCTTGTAATAACCGTCAATTTCCAGGTATGTGACTGTTTTCAGTTTGTTGGCACTTGTATTTCTGTACACAGCCCAGTGTGCACATCCACCTGGCTTCCGTGCTCCCTCTGACCTGAGCTGCTGCCACTTTACAAAATGTGAAAGTTCTGTTCACCCACCCCCACCCCCCCTACCAAGCACATGTTCTATTTCTGGCCTGAGCCAAGGAGAGTCTGTTCAGTGTTCACGCCTAGTTGCTTCAATCTATTTTCAGAGTTTCTTCGATCACTTATTTCTCGCTAACTCCCCAAAGTGAGTGCTCTGTTTTTCTCTACTTCCCCAACAGATTGGCTTGGATACTTCTTACTGGACTTTTGTGAATGCTTTTTCAATTTTTGGAAGCATCGCGCTTTATTTCGGCATCATGTTTGACATTCATAGTGCCGGGATGCATGTCCTCTTTCCATCTGCATTTCAGTTTACAGGTGGGTATTTCCTAAATTCCAAAGATGTACAGGAACATGTCATCAGTCTAGATGGTGAAATATCTGAAAAATACAAATGTAAATCTTTACTACTAAAAATTGCTTTCCTCTTATCACCACCAGTCAAATTAAAATAACCTGAAGATATAACTATGCATCTCTTAAGTTAGAAAAAAACTTTCTTCACTCCCACCTACCCCCCCATTAAAACCTAACATGGGCAGGTTATTAGGAAATTGAGTATACATGGGTTACTGGTGGTACTGTAAGTTTAATTTTTTCAAATCACTATCTGGAAATACATAGTAAACTATAAAACTTTGTATACTTTGATCCCATATTTCCACTTGGGTAAAATACCCTGAGATAAATGAAACACGCCAAACTTTAGAAAGGTAATTTGCATAAAGATTGTACCACCACACCTGGCTTTTCTAGTTGTTCATGAATGGAAACCATCCAAAGATCTAGCTAATCAAACTGAAATACCCGTATGATGGAATTCTAGAACTCAAACATAAACTACATCATTGGAAATATGTATGCAGAGCACTACGTAAACTTAGAAAGCACAGCATTTTACAACTTTATAAAATGATGTATTGGCAATACCAGAACCAATGAATAGGTATTATAAAATAAATATATGAATTAGAATGTATGAACTTTGAATACAGTAGCTTGGATTCACTGAATTCAATGAAAAAAAAATTCTCATAGATTAGTCTATGGTAACCCTTTGTTGCTTGGGATTGGCCTCCTTTTTTCTGGTTGTTTGTCTTATTTGTGTTTAAAAAAAAAATTAGTACACTGTGACTTAGAATATTCCCAGGGGAAGTACTTTTTAAACTCATATTTAGCAATGTAAAAAGTTACATTTAAAAAATAAAGACCCTGGTGGTGCAGGGGTTAAAGACTCAGCACTATCAAGCTGTTGCCAGCCACTCTAACATGACTCAATCCCCAGCCAGGGAGGTGACCTACAGTGTGCAGCAGACCTCTCCTGTCTCGCCTGCTGCTCCCCGGAGCAGTGTATTTGGTGGATCTGCCTATCCTGCTCCCCACTCTTTCTTTGGTAAATCCTCTCACCACTCCGCACCTCTGGCCTGTACCCCAGTTCTTATATATATAATTTTTTTTAAAGATTAATTTACACATACAAGATACAAAATCTTTTTTAAAAAAATATTTATGCATATAAGAACCGGGTACAGGCCAGAGGCACGGGGGTGGTGAGAGGATTCACCAGAGACAGAGTGGGGAGCAGGACAGGCAGACTGACTGAAATACACTGTTCGGGGGAGCAGTAGGCGAGACAGGAGAGGTCTGCTGTGCCATGTGGGTTGCTCCCTGGCCAGCCGGGGATCAAACTCGTGCTGCAGAGGTTGCAGAGAGCCTCACAGTGCTGTGCTTAACCCTCACTTGTGCCACCAGGGAGGCCCTATAAATAAATAAATCATTAAAAAAAAATAAAGGCTATTATTTTCATAAACTTAGAATATAAGTACAGAAAACATTGTGATAATTTGGCTCTAGAAGATTAGTTGTGTATAAATATATAATTTACTTGATTGCATTATAGAATTATTTCCTGACATAAACTGGAAGCCCAGATGCAGCAAGAAAAGCCTGACTGATTGGGTGGATATGGTTTTTAATTCAGGAGTTGCCAGAACCGCTAATTCTATTACCGTGAACAGATTTCATTACTTCTCCATGATTCAGTTTCTTTACGTGGCAAAGGGGATAATGATCCTCGGAGCTGCTGAAACGGAGTGGTCTATATAAAGGCATGTCTCACAATTGGTAGTGTTACCTGTTACTGGCATTTTGACTTTTGCAATTTTAAGCAATGCAACATCAACACACACACCCCCTTCCCCCCCCTTATTTACTTAATATACATTTGCCTTCCTAGTCTTGGTTTACTTAGTCTGATTTTAAAATGTTCAGTGACGGGAGTGTTTTGAGGTGATCTCTTGGTTGCAAAACTTTGATTCTGGGATATTAACTATAACACGCAAGGCTCACCGTCCTTCATCGACTGTTACTCACAGGCACAGCTTCCAATGCGCTGAGACAGCCATACATCTGGTTGACCATCATCCTGACCGTGGCCGTGTGCTTACTGCCTGTCGTGGCCATTCGATTCCTGTACATGACCATCTGGCCATCAGAAAGTGATAAGGTAAAGAAATAGACAGGGCTCTCCAAACTGAGTGTCCCTCACAGAAACCAAAGCATTTCCCGTAAGCAGCTTTTCTGTAAACATCTAGGCTTATGAAAAGTTTGGTGTAAACAGTTTTTATGGCCACTCCTTTATTTAACTCCAGTCTTGTAGATGGGACTGCCCTGCTTTGCCATGCAAATAGGGGGGTTTTCTTAAACATGTCACCTTTTATAGCAGGATTCCTTTAGCTGCAAGTAACAGAAAGCTGTGGCTCAAAATGCTTCAGTAATTAGCCTAGCACCTCCACATGCGTAATAATTAGCAGGCTCAGTAGGTTGAGCAACCTGAGGTGGAGAAAGGGGCTGGTGTTTTCCCATCTCTGCCATCTTCAGGTGGATGGTGACACAGCAGTTGGGCCCAGCCTCCTGACATGTCAGTACCAGGGGGAAGAAAAAGGGATTATTCTGTAGCTTTCCCTTCACTGTAGAGCTTTCCACCCAGGGGCCCAGCTGGCTTCTCTCAGGTCTCAGGCAGAATTAGGTCACACGCCCATGCCTGGGGGAATCCAGTACCACCCTTAGGAGGGGCTGTACGAAGGGGCAGGGCCCTATATAAACTCAGTTACTAGCAGCAAGTCCAGAAGCTGGCAGGCAACCTTCAGTGCCCCCCGATCTCCCTTTCCATAAACAGCAACAAGGGAAAGAGGCCTAGAGAATTTTCTCTGGCCAGTTAGCAGTGAGGTGGGGCAAGCTGAAAGGACCAGTTTTGGTGAGTGGGAGCCTTGGCAACCCAGGGTAACCCCTCTCCACATCCTGCCCACCACCACCAGGATGTGATGCCCCATCAAGATGAGGGGGGTGGGCTTGGGGAGTCGGGGCTCCGCATCAGTGTGACCCTTGTCCCAATCCATGGGCCAGGCTCTGACCTTGCTTGTCCCCACTCCCCATCCTGCAGATCCTGAAGCAGCGCAAGCGCTTGAAAGCCGAGGAGCAGTGGCAGCGCCGGCAGAGCGTCTTCCGCAGGGGGGTGTCCGCCAGGCGCTCGGGCTACGCCTTCTCCCACCAGCGGGGCTACGCCGACCTCATCTCCTCGGGGCGCAGCATCCGCAAGAAGCGCGCCCCACTGGACGCCATCATCGCCGAGGGCACCGCCGAGTACAGGAGGACCGTGGAGAGCTGACGCCTCCGCTCCGAGGGGGCCTGCAGCGAGACAGCCACACAGGAAAGGTCTATTTTTTTATGAAAGACTCACCGGACTTTTTATAAAATGGAATTTGTCACAAGGATGACAAAGAGATGATCACCTTTATGACAACCTGCCTGGCTTGGACTATGAAGCAACAGCAAGGCCACGAATACCTGCTTGCCTGACCTATTGCGCAACTGCTGGCATCACCCACCGCGGACAGGTGTGCAGCCTCCATCCAAGGCGCCAGGAGCAGAAAGCGCCACCTGTCGTCCTCACACGGCATTGCATCCTAAAGTCACAATCAGATTTTCCTGTATTTTGCCTTATTAACAGAGATCTTTTACTTACAATGGTAAGGACAAGATTCAGTGTTCATCGCCTGGAAGTGATAATGTTTCATGTTCTCTATTGGCTTAATAATTCAGTTCAATGAAGGAAAATGACTTAAACTTTTCTAAGCACAGGTTTCATTTCTCTTTCGGTTTACTGTGGATTAAAGTAGCATATTGCTTATGTTTACTCTTTCTATCCCACAGTGTTTAGTCCCTGTTTTCATTTAAAATGATACATTTAAATATCCATGGACTTTTGAAAAAGTTTTTAGAAACTGAGGATATCAGTGATAAATTGCAGAATATTTTGCAAAGCTTTCTTTTGAAAAGCAACCTTTGTGCCTGCCTGTATGTAGTTTATAAGGGACTTGAACCAGAGACCTCACTCTTTTGTTCAACTGTCATGTCTAGAGAGAAAAGGCTGTTTGGAAGTCACATTTTTTAAATCAGGCTAACAGTACATCCTTTTAAAATTGTAAACTTCAGGTAATTATGTAAACTACAGAGAGTCCTCAACTTCTAATGGGGTTGTCCCAATAAGCCCATCACAAATGAAAAGTTGAAAACAATTAACTTTAATTCTTCCACCTTTGCCTACTTTACCTTAAACATTCTCAGAACACTCACATTAGCCTACAGTTGGACAAAAGCATCTAACACAAAGCCTGTTTTATAGTAAGAGTTGAATACCTCATGTAATTTGTTAAATTCTACATTGACAATGAAAACCAAAAATGCCCCAATTCAAAATTTGAAGTACAGTTTATAGTAAATGCATACAGCGTTTGCCCCTTCATAAAGTCTAACAATTATGTTCAACTATTGCAAGTGGGACCATCCGTATATACTCAGAGGTGAAAGTTCTTTTCCTAAGCTTTTTCCCATTTTGTGTCTTTCACATACCAGTTTTCCTATTCTAGCGAAGACAGAAGTGCTTTCAGTAATCCTGTTAATTTATCATTAGTCCCTTTGAATTTCTATGAGAAAATCACATGTATATAGTTCATTTTTCTAGGTATGATAGAGGAATGAATGGCTCTTTATGGAAGCAAATTTCTGAACGTTTACAACTCTTCCTTGTAAATAAAAAGAATTGTGTGTGTGTTTTTTAAAGAAGTTAGCTTGTGTAATTGTCAGTTTCAGATTTCTCTCCTGTTTTTGCAATTGTGGGAAAGGTGGACAATGCAAATGTGTCAAACACTACACTGTTGGGTGCAATATAAACAATTTGAAAATGCAAATTGCTTTGGATAAATTATTTCTATGTTCTGTAAATCTAAGATTAATGTATATTTTGTTTATAAAATAAATGCTTTAGTAAAATCTTTCGATAATCTTTTAAAATATCTCAAGTTATTATAGAGTAGGGTATATGAAAGAAGACTCTAGGCCTTCAAGGTTTCTAAAGGAACTTAGGGGTCCTTTGTGGTGAGAAATAAAGTTAGGGAAAACATGAGGGAGAGAAGACAGGCGGAGGGCATGCACCGATAGTGGGTAAGAGCAATTTTGCCCAGGGAGGTGTGTCTCAGGATACTTGACAGAGATGGGGGATTTCTTTGACAGGCATAATTCCCAACCAGCAATAAGAAAGCTATTAGTCTAGGGGTGCTTTTTAAGGTATAAATCAGTACCTCCTCCCCTCTTTTTTTTTCAGGATTGTTTATTTATTTATACATACATACATACATACATACAAGCACTGGGTACAGTCAGAGGCGCGGGAGGGTGAGAGAATTCACCAGAGCCAGAGCGGAGAGTAGAACAGGCAGACGACTGAAAGGCTCAGCTGAGGGGAGCAGCGGGCGGCAGGAGAGGTCTGCACACCATGTGGGACCCTCACTGGGGGCCGGGGAGCAGCCGGGGATGGAACCGGCGCTGCAGAGGCTGCCGGCAGCTTCGCAACCCAGCGCTCAACCACTGCACTACCGTCCTCCTCCCCTCCTTTGCTATCACACAGTGAACTGCTTGTTTCTAGAGCTGAATTTCAAGTCTGTATCAGGGCAACCCTTTGGAAATGGGAAGGGGCGGGGCAGAGTATTAGCCTCTGCAATAGAAAAGGTGTAAGAAGATGTTTAAAGTAGACCTGGGAGATAGTCCCACGGAGAAAATTAAAGGCCAGTTTTTTACAGGGATCTACTACTGGGTTGTCAGAAAAGTCATGACGTATTTTTCCAAGCAAAAAATGCGTCATGACTTTTTCCGACAAGCCAACCCAACACTATAAATTGAAGAACAAATGTTTATAACCAAAGAGCACCACCTAAAGGTTCTTACTGATGTTCAGTACCAGAAATTGTTCAGCAGTGACATCCGATGGGAATAAAACAGTTTTTAAGAAATGTCAATGTGATAACAAAAGGTACCCTACGGAAGGAAGCTCAATCTATGTTAACAGTTGCTGCCTTCACACTGAATGTGAGTGGAGTGGAAGGAAACTGCAAGGCAGCTCCTAAGTCCTGTCAGAACCTGCTTGAACCTTATGGGTACAATAATGCTGCTGGTGCGTTTATAAACACAAGAGGTCCGTCAAAACACAAAAACGCCTCAGGAAGGAGTGGAGACTAGGATCCTAAAAACACTGTACAAAAATGATCTTCTTGACTTAAATGGATGTTTCTCTAAAGAACATATATAAATAGCCAATAAGCATTTAAAAACATGTTCAACATATTGATGCTAGGGACATGCACATCCAAACCACAATATGATAGCACTTCACGCCCACTAGGCTGACTATAAACAAAAATTAAAAAGCAGAAAATAACGGGTGGGTGAGGCTGTGGAGAATCGGAACCCTCAGACATAACTGGCAGGAATGGAAAAAGGCTGAGGCCACCTTGGAAAGCAGTTTGGTAGCAGCCCAATGAGATAAAAAGAATCACCCTAGGACCCTGTAGGATAAATGGAATTAATCAGGCTTTTTACACGACTAGTCTCTGTGGCTATCACCTGCGGCCTTGATTGTGTGGATGCAGAAGGTGCTTGGGGCATGGGCATGGGGCACACTTGCATGCTGGACACCTGGAGCATGAGTGTGGGCCTGCATAAGTGCACACTTGAGCCTAGAGGCCAGGGATAGAAGGGTGGTGTCACTTGGAGACAGGAAGGTATAGGGGAAGTAAAAGCATCAGGCTTTTCTGCCCTCCCGCCGTTAGGATTGATGATGGATCCCTGTGATCCTGAATGCATGACTGATGGCGGGCACCTGGAGTAGGGTGTGGGCATGCGTAAGTGGGTACACCTGTGCTGAGAGACTGGGCTTATAAAGGCAGCGTCACGGGGGCGCCAGGAGGAGAGCAGAGAAGCATAAAGAACCACGAGCAGAACGAATGGAAGAGCAGAACCATGAGAGAAGCAGAGAACGCCGGAGAGCCCAGAAAGAGTGAAGAATTGCTGGCAGGCCTCCCAGCCCCCTGGCACCCTTTGCCAGCCGTGTACCCGGTAAATCCCAATAAAAGCCTGAAAAGCCACTGAGGGCTCCAGGACTCTCTCCTCTACCCCGTCTGCTAGGGTCATAGAGGAACCTGCCCTGTGTCATCCTGCCCCTACAGACGGCTACAGGAGGACGTGTGACTACAGAAGAGGCGAGACCACGAGAGAACGCCAGTGAGAACCCAGAGAAAGAGTAAAGATTTGTGGGGGGCTCAAGGTGCTGTCTCCCCGCTGGCTTGTTCCCCTGATTACTATTAACACCTGTGATGATGACCCCAGGGGCTCCAAAATTCTCTTTTAAACTGTTAGTACCGATGAGGAACCTACCCAGCCTGGGATGGCGGCCCAACAGACCCACAGTCTTTCTCCCACGTGTTCCTGTACACCCCACGAAACTGAAAACAGGCATTCTGACATGCTTATACATGAACGTTCACAGAAAACTCACAATAGGGCCTTCCTGGCGGCGCAAGGGGTTAAGACGCAACCTATGAAGCTGTCCACAGCCTCTGCAGCATGAGTTCGAGTCCCCGGGCAGCCAGGGAGCCACCCACATGGCACGGCAGGCCTCTCCTGACTCTCCCGCTGCTCCCCTCAGCAGCGTATCTCAGTCAGTCTCCCTGTTCTGTTCCCCATTCTGTCTCTGGTGAATCCTGTCACCCCCCTGCACCTCTGGCCTGTACCCCACCAGCTCTTGTATGCATAAATAAATAAATATTTAAAAAAAAAGAAAAGAAAATTCACAATATCCAAAGGGTTAAAAACCACCCAATGTCGATGGACAGATGAATGCATAAACAAAATATATGTACATATCATGGAATATAGTCTTAAAAAGGAATGAGGCAATATAGGAAGTTTCAAGAACTCACCTCCTCTTGCAGACACATCGAATCAACCACCTCATATACACCTTCCCCTGAAAAACAAAAAACAAAGACAAGGTGAGTGACTCCAATACATCAGGTGATCAAGAGAAAAATCCACACTGAAAAATCCACACGGAAGTGGGTGGGACAGGCGAGGACACCACCTTTCACCTGCGAATCCTACCGCCCACTGGGCAACAGCTAACCCACAACACGGAGGAAAATAAAAATCCAGTGCTTCCCCATAAGGATTGAAGGGCTCGAAACCCACATCAGGCATCAGACCTGCACCTGAGGCAAGCCCAAGACAAGGTCTGCACCACGCGGCCATCTAGCAAACTGAGACAACTGGTAAAGGGCTCGCCTACTAGGACTCACCTGCCCAGTACCTAATGCAGGCAACTGCAAGGCACCAGGCTTTCTGCAAGAGGCTTATTTTACAGCAGTGGCAGCCTTATAGGCACTAACACCTCCAGGGGGCTGCAGTGTTCTGTGGACAGAGCCCGTGGGAGCCAACCTGTACTCTCTCTCCCCTGCTGCAGCTGTTGGCACCACCTTTTTTTTCTTTTTCAAAGTCTGGGCTCTTCTTCAGTCCCCTCCCAGCAGTCACCACCTTTACATCCTCTCATGCGCTAGCAGCTTGAGTACCATCTTTGCATACTCCCTCTGCCAGGCTTCAGAGGGTCTCCTGAAGGAGCTTGTGCACATGTCTGCTGTCCCAGTTTTTAGATCTGGGGCCTCAGTTTTTACGTTTGCCATGCAGGGGATGCCCTTCAATCACCTGGCATTGGAAGCCAACGGTGTTGTGTTCCTGGGTTCCATGGGATGCTAACAAATGGAGAGGGAGTTCTTGATTGCTACCCCCTTAGGGCACAGCAGAGACTGAAGGCAGAAATACACCCCCAGTCTTTTTGTGAACAGACCTACTGGCTTATCCTATTGTGTTGGCCTGATGGCCAGAGCTCTGGCTTAGCACACATCTAGAGACCTACCCAAGTATGCTTCTAGGACTGAGGTCAGTGAATACCATATCTGTGCTCTCCTTTTCTGCATCACTCCAAGCTGCCAGTGTCTCCCCAAAAAGCTTACACACTCATCTGGTATCCCAACCTTTGCAACCACCACTCAGGAAAGAGTTTTGTCTGTTCTGGTGGCTGGCGGAACTTATGCTTATAGTTCTACAGAACTGCATATATTTGCATCATACTTTAAAAGTTGCTGCTTCAGGATCTGGCTTCCAATCTGCCTGCATCTAGGTTTTGGCTGAGAGCCTCCTCCTGGGGACAATGACGTTGGTATACCCTCAACTACTAGGTGCCTCTAAAAATATGCTTACTTATCTATAATGTCTGTGAATTCCTTTTTAAGGCTTCACGGGGCAAGAATATGTGATAGTTCAAGGGCTAAATTAACAGCACACACTGGCTTCAATTACATTAAATAAGCAGTCTATGGAAATCCTACAGGTTTCTAGTTACCACCCACTTTGAAATGCCCACCCACCTTCCTTACTTAAATGTTGTGTGACCCACATGAAAAATGTATGCTTATAGAAGAGTTTCATAAAGGATTAATTTTGGTTCAAATTTCTGAAAAACTTGCATCAAATTTCACCATTGCAAACATCTTAAGTAAGGCCTTTAAATTTAGTGGATTTGTCCAAGACGGTAATATTTCCTAGGATTTTGTGGCTTGGGATCAAAATACTTTCATGATCTTCTCCAATACCAAGAATCCCACTAAACTATGATATCAGCTGGACATGTGAAATTCCCCCTACCCCAAGGCCCTTAGGTGCCTCAATTCCTGCTAAACTGATACAATGATTGTTTTTCAAACTCACTTGCAAGACTGCCTTCCTCACTGCCTTCCCTGGACACAAATAAGCCTCTTTTGAAAAGCTTCCCAGTTTCTTCTGCATTTGTCTTCCTTTCAAACACGCTATCCCAAAGCCCACATTGTACCCAGGGCAATTCAGTGAGGAAATCAGCCCAGGCTGATATCAATTGTGCTTTTGGAAAGCAGTACAGGCCAGAGCACAGCCGGGGCGCTGGGGTGGAGCCTGAGGGCTATCCCGGTCAGGGCAGGTTGCAGGCAGAAGAATGAAATGATTGGGTTCACGCTGGTTCTTACTTGTTTGCCCTCACTGGAATGTAGAGATTACAATGGAGAGCAGCAGAGGACAGAAGGCAGTGAGGGGCTAACAGGAGGAAAGCATGGGTGCTGAAGCAGGAAAGTGTAATTTTTAAGGGCTGTCAGCGAACTCCCGTTTGTTGGCTAAAAGCAAGAGAGGTCATTTGTTGAGTTGGGTCATTGAAAATGATCTGCAGAGTCTGAGACATCCTGAATTCTGGCCACAGCCCATGCATGGGGGTGGTGAGAAAGAAGAAGGTGTGGGGTTGGGCCTCCCCGGTGGCTCAGCGGTTGAGCGTTGGGTTGCGAAGCTGCCCGCAGCCTCTGCAGCGCCGGTTCGATCCCTGGCTGCTCCCCGGCCACCGGAGGAGGGTCCCACATGGCGCACAGACCTCTCCTGCTGCCTGCTGCTCCCCTCAGCAGTGTACTTCGGTCCTTCTGCCTGCTCTGCTCCCCGCTCTGGCTCTGGTGAATTCACTCACCCTCCCACGCTTCTGACTGTACCCAGTGCTTGTATAAATAAATAAATAAATCTTTAAAAAAAGAAGAAGAAGGTGTGGGGAAGGGAGGTATGGGTAAAACCAGCAGCTGTTCTTAGTTTGAGTGAAGTCTTGAAGGTTTGGTTCATGCAAGATATGGAACAATAACCACGAAACACATGAACAACGATTATATCCTCATGCAGAAGGCTCACTGGACAAGCACATAGTAGGCACTTGTGTATACTCGCTCTCATAACAGCCTTTCCAGAGAAGGATTATTATCCCTTTACAACGGAAAAACCTTTTGCTTGAAGAGGTTAAGGCCACCTGATCAGGGTCATTGAGCAAAAACTAAGAAACCCGCGTCTGACCCCAGCTGCACGGAGTTACAGCACCAGCCACCCTCCCTGATGGGTCAGCACCCAGCAGGGCCATCAAAGGTCTTCCCTCGCTTTTATTTTCTAAGGGGAAATTATAAAGTGTTTACAAGCAAACAGTTCACAAACATGAAGACGCCTGGGAGTCGCTGAAATAAATTAACAAGCAAACCTAAGTGCTTAAATTAACTCCACAACGAAAACTAAAGTTACGCTTTCACGTTCTTAAACTAGTAATTTCATCGTCATGAGAATCCCCATATTTGTTTGTAGTTCCAAGCCGGTTTGAAGTATTTCTGAGATATTTCTTCAATTGCTTGGCCGATCCGTCAATAAAGCGAGCCCTGGACCTCCCCAGCGTACCCCCAATTCCCCCCACGTCCCCCTGTTCCTGGGATGGGAAGAGATCAAAGGCGCTCAGTGATTTTTGCGTCTTGTCTCTCCGAAGACTGTACTGAGTACATACCGAGTGCACGAGCAAGTTGTCAGCAGACATCTGCGAGCCTGCAGGAAGACAGCGCTGGCCGAGCTGCCTGCCCCGCACCAGCCAGCCCAGGATCCCTCCACGTGGGGAGGTGCAGCAGCGGCGCAGGCGCAGGAGCGGCGGACCAAAAAAGGACAACTCGGAAGTGCCCAGAGACAACATGGGGTCAACGGCATCGCGTGCCCTGAGCGCAGACCTGTGGCAGGCTACGGTAGCCCATAAGGACCATGATACTTTTAGGAGCGGCAACTCGCACCTGGTGCCTAGTGAAGCAAAGGGAGCGCCAATCAAACTCCGGACAGCGTTGCAAGGGCGCAGAAGAAGACCGGGCGAGGAGGGCACTCCCTGTAGGCCGGAGTGGGATCAGGACACAGAAAAGCAATGTCATTCATTCATTTATTCATTCAATCATGAGCACCAATAAACTTGTTTATTCTTGAAAGTGACACTTTCAGCGATGCTGCAAGGAAAGTTCTGCTTCCAAAGAGAGATTGGATGGAAAGACATTGTCCGGGGCTTCCCTGGTGGTGCAACGAGTTAAGACGCAAACTATGAAGCTGTCCGCAACCTCTGCAGAACGAGTTCAATTCCTGGCCGCCAGGGAGCAACCCACATGACTCACCAGACCTCTCCTGTCTCACCTGCTGCCCCGCCTCAGCAGTGTGTTTCAGTCAATCTCCCTGTTCTGCTCCCCACTCTGTCTCTGGTGAATCTTCTCACCCACCCCCCCCCAACCCCACCTCTGGCCTGTACTCCAGCTCTTGTATGCATAAATAAATAAATCTTAAAAATAAAATAAAATAAAAGGCATTGTCTGGGGCCTCCCTGGTGGCGCAAGGGGTTAAGACACAACCTATGAAGCTGTCCGCAGCCACTGCAGCACAAGTTCGATCCCCTGCCAGGCAGCTACCCACATGGCGTAGCAGACCTCTCCCTTCTTGCCTGCTGCTCCCCTCGGCAGTGTATTTCAGTCAGTCCGCCTGTTTTGCTCTCCACTCTTTCTCTGGTGAATCCTCTCACCCCCCACACGTCTGGCCTGTACCCCAGTTCTTGTATGCAAAAATAAATATTTAAAAAAAAGACATTGTCCATCTAAGAGAGAGTTACCAAGTGCTGAGTACAAAACTCTGTGCTAAGTGTCCTGGAAGGAGGCCAACAGACTGCTCGACTGCAGTATAGTGGAGACACGTAGGACCATTTGGCAGACACAGCGAACACAGGAGGTACAATGCTGGCTGTGGCAGATGAAGAGAGGGGAACATGATTTTTATTACTGAGGACAGAGACTGAGCGGGGAGAGGGTGGATTGCAGTGGCCCTGCAGCTACAGTTCCCTTTTCCTCTTCCCGTTTCCTGTGATCTTCACTGGTGTTAGGTGAGGTTGTCCTTCCTTTGGGAAAGGAACAGTAAAGATTGCTGCACACTGTGGGCTGTTCTCATCGCGATTATTTCATGGAAATGAAAATACCTGGAGAATTATTTGAAACAAACACTCAGGTTGAGAGGGTTGTGCTGCCCGCAGGGGTCCAATGCAATCCACCTGCCACCAGGTGACCAGCTAGACCCTCAAAGGTGAGTGCCCCGTCAGGTCCTTCTGACCCCAGCTGCACGGAGTTACAGCACTAGCCACCCTCCTTAAAGGGTCAGCTTCCAGCAGGGCTATCAAAGGTCTTCACTGGCTTTTATTTTCTAAGGGGAAATTACAAAGGGTTTACAAGCAAACAGTTCACAAACACGAGGACGCCTGGTTGGTGTGGTTAGTGTGGCAGGAGCCAGCGAATCAACCTGATGTAGGTCCATCCGTGAGGCTGGAGACACCGGCATAGACTCTATCCTGGTAGTGTAGCCACCTTGCATGTGGTTTCTTGGAGCAGGACTGGGGTGCTGGTGGGAAGGGCCAACACCCACAGAGTACGGAGACCTCCCCGCCGAATGCCTGGTAAGGGATACTGGCAAGAAGCAAGAAATCTTCATATTCTGTCCCATTCCGAAAGGTCCATTAACACACTTTGCCACCAATTACAGTCGGGGGACGGAAATGGAAGATTCAGGAGAGAAAGCTGGGGAGATGGTGCCCCGAGCGAAAGGAACCGCAGCTCCGACAAATGGGGCGCCGGGTCCCGGGTCCGGGGTCGGCCCAGCGTGGGACTGGACTCCCGACCCGGAAGTTGCCTCTGCCCGGCCCAAACATGGCGGCCGCGGCGCCGCTCGCCCACCACCCGTAACCAATAGCGAGCGCCGGGACACTCCGTGACTCACGACGGCGACGGACGTGCGCCGTTCTGATGATGCAACCTTCGAGTCAGGGAAGCTCCCTCGCGTTGGAGTGAAAAGGCGGCGGCGTGTTGGAGACGATGTCCTTGGAAGTGACCAGGGCGACCGCAGGGATGGTGCTAGGTGAATGTGGCTCGGGGTCTCGGGGTGCGCAGGGGGCGCGGCGCTCCTGCCTGGGACGGGAACCTTTGCCCGGCAGAATCCCAGCACTTACCTCAGTCCTGGCACCATCATTATATCTGAATGGTTGCAGGGGGGGAAGGGCCCGGACCCCAGTGGGCCCTGGTCCTCGGCGGGCCCAGGGGCCTGGCCGGGCTCCCCTCGATCCCGGGGTGCCCCAGGACTGGGATGGCGTCCCCTCCCGGCCCTGCCCCTCTGCGAAAAATCCCGTGATTCATTCGAGACTTAGGCACTGCAAGGCCCTGCCAGACATGGGGGTAGCTTCCAGGTCTATAAATCCCGAAGTGATCGCGGGGAAGGAATTGAGAATTCTAATTCATCTTAGATTTCCAGGGAGACCATACCGTGCGGTCGAAAAAGGAACAGCTTTGGGAGACCTGAATTGATTTTACTGTTCGAACTTAGTAGTTGTGAGGCCTTCTGCGATCTGTTTAACCTTAGGCCTTCGGATTATTGAAGGCCAGAGGGAACTGGTACACATTTGACATGCATGCACTGGCACTAGGATAGCTGATTTGTATGTGTAATTTTACTCCCTTTCAAGACGGGTAGTGTTTTCCTTATTTTATAGAAATAGACATAAGCTCAGAAAAGTTAAGTGAATGAATTCCCCAGGGTTACCTTGGCTTTTAAGGAACAACATCCAAGATTCCAGTCTGGCCTGGCCAAGATCCTAGCACGTTTTATTGTTAGGGACTCAAACAGATGAAAGCAGTGTCACAAATTAAAATAACCAGAGTTTGCTTTGAAAAGCTAAATTTGTAAGTAACATGTTTTTCTGAGATGGCTGTCGTTGAAAGAGGGCGGTGGGAAAGTAAAATTTCATTTGGGCTGTGGTAACTTTTATTAATAGTTCTCTTCACCAAGGTAAACAGTGGATAAAGTAGTTGCAGAATGAAGTAGCTGGTAGTTACTGGCTAAGTTATTGACTGATATTTATTCTCATTTTGTAAAACAGCAGAGCTATATGTTTCGGATCGAGAGGGAAATGATGCCACAGGTGATGGAACCAAGGAGAAACCTTTTAAAACAGGCCTGAAGGTAGCGTGTCTTTAAGAAAATGACTTTGCATTTGTGAATAACTTAATGTCAATTGTTATTTTTTTAAAGATTTATTTATGCATACAAGAACTGGGGTACAGGCCAGAGGTGCTGGGGGGTGAGAGGATTCACCAGAGACAGAGTGGGGAACAGAAAAGGCAGACTGACTGAAATACAGTGCTGAGGGGAGCAGTGGGCGAGACAGGAGAGGTCTGGTGTGCCATATGGGTCAGCTCTGTGGCCGGGGATTGAACTCGTGCTGCAGTGGCTGACGATAGACAGCTTCATAGCACCGAGACTTTAACCCCAGGGAGGCCCTTTGTTGACTATCTTGTGATATCTGTTGAAGTTGTTAGGAAGCCCTCTTGTCCTGGGTGTGTCCTCTCCTATTTTAGTTCATATTACGTGGTTTTGCTTAGGTGTATCATGTGGGTCTCCCTTTTTAGCTCTTAGAGGAAAATCAATCTTTCTTGTATGGAGAGTAATTTGTTGCATTTCTCAGTTGACCATAACTAGGGGGAAACTCTGAAGGAACATTTCAAGCAGTTAAATAAAATCCATCTTTTACACATTTCCAACTATTTTTTTTTTAAAGTACAAACTGTAAAATAAGCAATGATTTAGTGAGATCTAATGTGTCCTAGTATTGCTAAAAAAGAGGTATCCTACATAAGGGAAATTTTCAAATGAAATGAAATTTAGCCTTTTGTATATTTAACTATTTTTTTGTTGAATTTCAGAAATGACTTCTTTGTTTCTTAAGGAGGATTAGATGTGTTCGGCAGTTGACTTTTGCTGTTAACTCTCTTCTTGTCAACTTAAAATCTGTTGCATCTAGTCTGCTTGTACTGGGAAGCATTGTCTCATGAATTTCCTAAAATTGTTTGGGAAAGGATCCAAGGCGCTTTTACTTTAAGTTGGATATTCTTAGTATTTCAACCAGTCATTCTATCAACATTGTCTTTCGGAGTCTTATGCTTTCTTCTCAGCTCATAACTATGTTCTAGATGCTTGAAGTTGCCTCATAATTTAGGTGTTATTTTTATTTCAACATTGTACAATGTTAAAGATAAATTTTCTCTTTTTTTCCTCCCCACCCAAGGCTTTGATGACAGTAGGAAAAGAACCATTTCCTACCATTTATGTAGATTCACAAAAAGAAAGTGAGGTAAGGTGGACCAAAAATTGTACAAAATTATAGTTTGCAATGAATTTTCATTAGCAGAGGTCTTGTGAACAATTAAATTTTTTGTTTTTTTTCTCTAGAGGTGGGATGTTATTTCTAAGTCACAGATGAAGAACATCAAGAAAATGTGGCACAGGGAACAAATGAAGAGCGAATCCCGGGAAAAGAAAGAGGTGAGCAGTGAATTTGCCGCCAAATGTTTTAGAAGCTGAAACACGAGACTCAATGTTAACAAATTGCTTATCTTTAAAATTAGGCGGAAGACAATTTGCGAAGAGAAAAGAACCTGGAGGAAGCAAAGAAGATTACCATTAAAAATGACCCAAGTCTCCCAGAGCCGAGCTGTGTGAGTGACCCATGTAGCTTGAAATAACATGGATTTGCCAC